TTGTATTTTTAATTTTAGTTTGATTTGAACATTAAAACGGCACACGACGAAAATACTTTTGTCTTTAATTCGTAAAACCAAACAAGTGAAGACGAAAACCATTAACTTATATATTGGATTTTTCAATGTCTCCGGATTTACATAATTTTTAAAAACATGGCACGACACACAAATTGCATATAATTATAAATATTAAAATTTGTTAGAGGCAACAATATATATTGAGGTTCTCGCATTTATACAATGTATGCGTTCATTGGATTATGGGCAATACATCTGTGCAACTCTATGGTTAATATCCAAGACATTTATTTTCACTTGAATCACGTATGGCCTATAAAAATATGTAGGCGACAATTATGTGAATAATTTACGGACATTAAAAATGATACATTGTTCAATACAAAATCCGTTTTTTTTCTTTAACGGCAAAAGAATACACACCATCTCATTGCTATTACAAGAATTACTCACAGTCAAAATATACCTTGGTATCCCGCGAAGCGACTGACACGGTTGGCTTACAAAAGTATGTAGGCGACAATTCTGTAAATGATTTGCTGACATTAAAAATTTTATATTGTTCAATACAAAATCCGTTTTTTTTTCTTTAACGGCAAAAGAATACAGACCTGTCATTACTAAATCTAAACTAAACAATACACTCAATATCATTGCTGTAGCAACAATTACCCAGCCACATCACAGTCAAATTATACTTTGGTATCCCGCGAAGCGACTGACACGGTTGCATCGGATCGCTTATGATTGGAACACTAGGGCGGCAATACCTCTGGTTTGCCTGTGAACATCTCACTTTCGTTCCTCTCGAACCGCGTCACAAATATGTTTATTGAAAGAAATTAAAAATATACCACCGTTTTACTGGCATGCCTATATATTACTTTCTTCAATAAAAACACTTTTTTATACCTAAACAATGTTGTATATTCAGGTTCTTGAATTTATACAATGTATGGGTTCATTGGATAATGGACAATACTGTGCATCTCTATGGCTCATATTTACGCTATTTATTTTTACTTGAAAGAAGTATAAACATTACTTCATTTTATAACAACTTAGTAGTTGGCTTATAAAACTATGTAGGCGACAATTCTGTGAATAATTTGCTGACATTAAAAATTTTATATTGTTCAATAAAAAAATCCGTTTCTTGTTTCTTTAACGGCAAATAAATACAGACCCGTTATTGCAATTATCGCAAATCACTCCACCAGACAAATCACTCCACGAACTGTGATCGGCCTTAGGGACGAAGTAGTTTTCCACTGTAGTCATCATGAGACGTATACCATCGCTGGACCAAGAGACGACACCAGTTGTATCGTTAGACCACCGCTTGATTCACGCTTACAATTATTATATCTACATATACTAACATTACAACTTCACTTTATAGCAACTCAGTGGTTGGTTTATACACATCAGTAAGCGAAAATTCTGTAAATAAATTAATTCAACGACAAACGAATACAAACCTGTTATTATCCCATTGTTATTATCGCAATTAAGCAGGCAAATCCACTCTGTGAGCTAAAAACGGCCATTCACCACCACCAACACCGCCTTAGATTCGAGAAAACTATAAGGTTTCAGTTTCAACTAATAATTGTCAGGTACACAGCTGAGTTTTGCACTTGCAAAAGCTGTTAGCGAAGCTTTGGACCAGCAAGGTTCCAGTCTCAACTAATTATAGTCGGGAACGGAACTTAGAGCTTTAAATTAGCCAAGCTCTATACCCAGTGTCAAGCACACAGCCAAGTAATCAATGACGCAAGCCAAGTGCACGCTTTATTCCAGAAAGCTGCTAGCCAAGCTTTGGTCCAGCAAGAAGTTTGATTCCAGTCTCAACTAAACGCCATGACAATTAAAATAAATAACTTGTGTATTGAAATTTCGCAAGTGGAAAGTTTTAAAAGAATTTCAACCCACCCAGAAATAAATTACAACATACCTCTCGCTCTTATAAAATCTGTCCCTGAATTTATGAATCATGGAGGCTATCAACCTGCGATGCTTATGAGCTGTTTAAACCTTTGAATGGTAGCTAAGTGGCAAAAGTTATTACTCAATCTCATTGCTATTATCGCAAGTAACCAGACAAATCACTCGCTGGACCAAGAGATGACGCCAGTCGTATCGTTGGATCACCATTTGAATCACGCTTACAATTATTATACACATTACTACTTCACTTTATAACTGTAAACGACAATGCTGTGAATAATATACAAAATCCACTCTTTTTTCTCTAACGGCAAAATAATACTGACCTGTTATTACTCAACCTCATTGCTATTATCAAAATTAACCAGACAAATCATTCGACGACCTGAGAATGGCCAATGAATTCAGACCCGTTATCGCAATTAACGTATACCATCGCTGGATTAAGGGACGACGCCAGTCGTATCGTTGAACCAAAACGCTTACAATTATTATACACATTACAACTTCATTTATAACTTAGTAGTTGGCTTACAAAAATATATAAACGACAATTCTGTGAATAATTGAAGGACATTAAAAAATTTTGTTCAATACAAAATCCGCTCCTTTTCTCCTTAACGGCAAAATAATACAGACCTGTTATTAATAAATCTCATTGCTATTATCAAAATTAAGCAGACAAATCACAGTCAAATAACATTTTGGTTTCCCGCGGAGCGACTGACACATAGCATGACACAGTTGCATCGCATCGATGATCGGTAAGGTTAGAACCCTAGGAAGGTAGTATTCTGGTTCTGTTGAGAATTGTCTTCGGATGTACATAATTTTTAAAAACATAGCACGACACACAAATTGCATATAATTACAATTAAACGTTTTTAGAGACAACAATATATATTTAGGTTCTTGCATTTATACAATGTATGCGTTCATTGGATTACGGGCAATACATCTGTTCAACTCTGTGGTTCAGAACCATGCCATTTATTTTCACTTGAATCACGTATGAACATTACTCACTTTATAACAACTCAGTAGCCTATAAAAATATGTAGGCGACAATTATGTGAATAATTTTCGGACATTCAAAATGTTACATTGTTCGCCTGCGAACATCTAACTTTCGTTCTTCTCGAACTGCGTCACAAATATGTGCACATATATATTACACTCTTCAATAAAAACACTTTTTTATGCCTAAACAATGCTGCAAAATATCTTCAGATTTACAAAATTTTTAAAAACATGGCACGACACACAACTAGCCTATAATTACAAATATTAAACATTTTTAGAGACAACGTTATATATTCAGGTTCATGCATTTACATAACGTATGCGCTCATTGAATAATGACCAATTCATCAGTGCAACGCATGTGAATATAAGTTAACGAGTGCGTCGGTAACATGATTCCTTGCCTGTGTTGTAAGAGCAGCGTTATCGTTTGCGCTTAGCCGACTCTTGTATTCTCTTTAATGAAATAGCTTCTAGCCGGTTTGGCTTCTCGATTTAAGTTTAGTCTCGTACGAAACACTTATTGATTAACAATAAAGCTACTTGTACATCGGCAACTTATCATTTTATTATTGATATCATATTACTTAGCCACAAGGCCATTAACAACTCAGTCGTTGGCTTATAAAAATATGTAGACGACAATTCTGTGAATAATTCAATGATATTAAAAATGTTATATTGTTCAATATGAAATTCGTTCCTTTTTCCTTAAACGACAAAGGAAACAAAGCTGTTATTGCAGAGGACGACGCCAGTCGTATCGTTGGACCACCATTGACTTTAATGAATATTTTTTTTTTATTAATACAAAATAACGGCAAAAGAATACAGACATGTTACTGCTTAACCTTATTATTGCGCTTATCACAATTGACCAGACAAATCATTCCACGAACTAAGAAAGGCCATGCATCATCACCGACACCGAGACACCGATTCGAGAATGAGCTTCAATTTTAAATATGAAATAGCTTTCTAAATTTTTTTTTTGCATGACTTGCCCTACGCGACGTGTCTCCACTATATAGGTTTTTTGACACCTTTACTCTAAAACTGATAAATTTAGAAAAGGCTGCCACCAACCTTTATATTGCCATGTATTAATTTAATACAATCATTATTCTTTACCATTTAACATAAATAATCTATGCCGAACTTGGCACCTGTGAGCGCTGCCTCTATCAACACCGTTACTGCACTACTTGTGCAAGAAGTTGCAAGTCTCAACCTAGCAGAAAATACACACTGAGCTCCTAGCTTTTTGGCGCACGAGATTTAATTTAATAACTGCATTTCGATTATGTTTTTAATCAACAATAATAAAACAGGAATAGATATCGAATATTTGAACAAGTCTCTAGCTCTTATAGAAGCTGAGATCGACGCGTTCACACATACGGACGTACGGGCAGGGCCCAATCGACTCGGCTTGGTCCGGCGCTTCGTACTATACAAACTGTCGAATGGTGCCGTAATAGTATGCTCTTTAAATTAATATATGTCTATTTAATACATTTTCACAAACCCATTATTCCCTGAATTCTCATTTGAAATGGGTTCAAGCTATTCAAAAGAGTATAAGTAATTTTGTTAAGAAATTTGCTGTTAATTGAATCATTTATGACCAATTTATATAAATAATTACAGTTCTTTATACACGAAACACAATCATCTATTATTATTATATATACATATGTTAATATGTATGTATGTATGTATGTATATATGTATGTGTATAATTACTTTTAATAAATATGCTGCGATAATGACTAAGCAATTAATAAATAACAACATTTGTTCGACAACATAAATAAAAACATTTGTTGGAGCAATGCATAATATTAAATATATATATATATATATATATATATATATATATATATATATATATATATATATATATATATGATAAAGATATGATATATGATAAAGTTAACATAAAATACTCTTGCGTATGTAGCATTAATTTTATAATTTTGCATATTTTCTTTTTTGTTCTTTTTTTGGTATTTTTTTGCTGTATTCGCATTTTGCTGACTTCAATTGCCTTTAACTTTGAAATGCTCTAGTGAATTGGTTCAGTTGGCTGAATTTGAGCCTGCATTGCGCTAGCGTCCCATATTGCAGATCTTAAAGTGGCATGGCCTCATATCTGCATAGAAATATAAAAAATAATTTAGTAAAGAAAAAATTTGTAACTTCTTAAAGTCTCATGCAACACTTACATTGTTTACGAACTGTTTTTGCAAATAAAGGAGACATGAATATTGGGAACATAATATATAAATGATTTTAACTTTTAACACATTTATCATGCAGAATAAAAATGAAAAATTGTGTTTAAAAATTGTATTAAACTGATTGTGAACGCGACTATATGTTCCTAATTTCAAGTCTTTACCACTTTAACAAATAGCGTTTCTGACATACCCGATTTGCCACGCAGCTAGGGGACGTATCGAGAAAATCTATACAGTTTATCAGAAAAGGGTAGCCACGAGTATATAGTTCAAATTCCAATGTATCTATAGCTTCAAAAGAAGTGAAATGGTTTGCATTCATAAGGACTGCCGGATGAATAGAGAAACGGACATTTCACAATACAACGGCGTTATATCTTGTTCAAAATTATATTCTGTTTCCTACCAAACTATCTGTAAAATGTAAATGTATGCATATACAACTCAGTCTCCTCTCTTTTATCCAAATATGTAATCGGTTTGATATACTAAACTTAATAAGCTGTTAAAAAGTGTATAATTTCTAATTTGTTTATTCAGAGTTTTAATCACATGCCCTTTCTTTTGGCATCTTTATCAAATATCTTTATTTATAAAAATCCAAACAATAACTCATTTAAAATGTTGTTTCTACTCACACTGCGCATTTCTCTTGCTGCTATGCTGCTTAACACCGGAGCTCAGCTTGAGCAGCTGATCATTGCCGTCGACAGCATTGTCAGCCAGCCTGTGCAGACGTGCCAAGAGTTGAGATCCCTGCGGAGCACGCTCCCGCTCCGAGCTGTCACTGACAGGCACCAACGAATCGTAGTCGGCGTTCATAATCAAATCCCGCAGTGACGACCATTGGTTAGTAAAGTAAGCGATTGGCAATTGTTTTAGACGCAAATGCTGCTGCTGATGCTGCTGATGCAGCTGATGCTTCAGCTGTTGATACTTCTGGAAGATCAAGAATTGCACCGAATCAATTATCACTTATTAATTATATATAGAGATAGAATTATTCAAGGTACCTGTGAACCTTTTCAATTATAGATACATATTATATTGTAATTCTAATTATAAATGATATATACTAGATTCTCTATATTGTTTCTGGATCTGTAATGATAATTTGTTATACCCTGATAATGTAAAATGATTTTGTGCAAATGTATGTAACAGGCAGAAAGAGGCCTGGCAGATCTCATAAAGTATATATATTCTTGATAAGAACGACAAGCCTAGTAGATTTAGCCCTGTCCGACCGCATGTGTGAACGCGTCGATTTCAGCGTCTATAAGAGCTAGAGACTTTAATTTTTAGTAGGTTCGTGTATAGCGCGCACATATCAAATTTGTCTCAACTATTATCGTTTTATTGTTATCGATTCAAAACATGATCAAAATACAGTTATTAAATTATATTTTAAAAGCGAATGGCACTTGGCGCCAGTGCATGCATTTTTCCTATACATGTGCACATATCCGCTCAAATGCTTGTATTCATTTCTATTCTAAGAATTGAAATTGCTATTGAATTGTGCTTTAAGTTTCAGCTGCTAAGTTGCGACATGAAACTTCTTGCACAAGTAGTGCAGTAACGTTGTTGGTAGAGGCGGCGCTCACAGACGCCAAGTTCTGCAACATAACTTTCCGAGCTAACGTATAAACATAATTGAGCGCAGTAAAAATGCCTTAAGTATATACATAACATATACGCTTTTGAAACTGTTTTTGTTCAATTCTATCTGCATATGTCGCATTAGTTACTCACCAACTGCTGAGCGTAATAGTTGCTCTTGCCATCAGGCGGTCCGGAACCGAGCAGCTCGTTGAAGAACATTTGCATTGCTGGTGGTTGTTGATCGTCAATAGCAAGGCTCTGCTGTGCTTGTCCAGGCGACAAGTGCGACGCAATTGACAGCAGAACAATGGCAATAGCCAACTGATGGGCGATAGAACAACCGTACATTGTCATTATGTTATTGCGCTGGTTTTTGTTGTAGTTCCAGTGTTAACTAAAGCGGGAGGAGAGAGCGAAAGGGAGAGAGGGCTTAGAAACAGCGAAAACATGTGTGCATAGGCGGGTGTAAGAGTTTGTTTTTAGCTAACTGACAATTAAAAACGAGTCGAACTCCTGCCCACCACCCCCGACGCCAACCTGTTACGCAAAAAGGTTTCATGTTACAACTTCCATTGAAACAAACAAAGTTGCCAAAGTTAAAATATGCGAAATGTTTCTTTTTTGTGCTTTTTAGAAAAGTGGTCCAGTAGCACGTTCTTTCGCTTTTCACAGGTTTCATCTCAAGGTGTTGGGTATTTCAAACAGAACAAGTCACGTTGGCAAAAAGGGCGCGAACCACTTAAACTTTCGTTACGATTTGCGAATCGGCTAAAAATATATGAAAAGTACTTTGAAGCCTAATCAAGTCAGCGTAGCCCAACCCCTCAGCCAAAATGGCATATCACATGGCAAGCTACGCAAGACCGTGACGCGGTCTGCGAATGGCCTAATTACTGTCGATAAAATATTAATGGCTAATTATGCTCAACTGTGACTGAAAAGCTCCTGCAATACGGACAGAGTCAACTGATGAAATGCCTTGACATTTATTTCAACTATTATAACTGATATCCAGTTTAGTTTTTTAAGTAAAATTTGCTAAGAGTTTCGCAGAGAAAAAAAAACAAAATGACTCACGTCAATTATATTATAGATCACAGACAACTTCATATTACGCTTTAGTATTTAACACAACTTAGTATCTATCTGCCCGCGGGTTTTTCTGTTTTCGTGAAGTCAATTAAAAGATTAGCGAATTGCAGTTAAAATAATATGGCTTTCGTTTTTAGAGCTAATAATGAATAAATACTCTTTGGAATGCAATTAAATTAATCGCAATTGCGACTGAAATGTGTTTAAATTGTTATTCTATGTGTGTGATCTTAGATGTTGGAGCAATTCAAATTCTGTGTTTAATTTTCCACATCAAATATTTGCCCTCATCAAATCAAAAATGCATATGCTTTAGAATAAATACTTAAAAAACACTCTACTCTTCTCGAAATTAAGAGAGATGTAAGTCAAAAACGGAATATTCAGATTCAATAACTTAGCTGGTAAAAAATTTGCTTAGGTCAACGCATTGAACAAAGAATGCACCTAAAGATAGATTTATAGACCCCATGGAAACTGGCAAGATTTCCTATAATAATTTATACGTAGTATATCAAAACATCAGATGTTCGATGACAACAATACATATATATATATATATATATATATATATATATATATATATATATATATATATATATATAGACGTACTTTTATGTGAAGCTCTAAACGTTGGGCTGGAATTATACCATTGACTTACGCACTCCGTGAGTAATTGAGAATCGTAAAGTTGTAATCGTAGCAAACGCATTTTATGACAACTGATAATCCGCTGATAATGCGTCGATGTCGTGGCTAATTTTTAGCGCCTAGCTAATAATATATATGGTCATAATATATATGGACATATATATGGTCATTTAGATTGTCGAGCTGTTTGAGTTTCATCTCCGGCATTTTTTTAAAACATAAATCGAAGTCAAGGTCTAACGCGTACAAATACCACTGAACTCTCAAATTTGGGCTGCTGACCACGCCCTCTAATTATCTCATCGGCCATCGGATAAGCGTTTCGTCTATTACTGTCAACTATTAATTAGGTGAGGGAGGCGTTGCCACAGGAGGAGTAGCAGTAGAAGGTAGTCCAATTTATTTGACAGCTGACACTTTTTGCGTTACCAAATTTGTGCCTGTTATAACTTCACAGTTTTCAATAGAAAAATCATGTGAAATAAATGATGGGAAAGTTATTGATGCTTCCAGTTTAGCTGGACGCATGAGTACGTCATCAGCTGGTCGGATCATAACATCTAGTTCTTATCAGGCCAAAAGTTTGCTTATAAAGACACTCCCTCTTTTTTTATGTAATGGTATTTTAGATGAGGAAATCAGCGGAACTAACCTTTAGTCAAGAAGTTATCGCTAGAAATAAAGAAAAACACCGCAATACGTATATTTTGCCCTCAATTTTTTTCAGAATGATTCGTAACACGAGACTAAAATCTGTTTAATTCAATAATCAAGCCCTATATGATAATATTATTGTATTATAGTTCAGTTTTGATTTCTTTCTCGCGCTGATAAGATTTTATTTATAACAATAAATTTATAAATAATATTTATTAAAATAAATTAATTAAGATTCGCAACACATTCTGTACGCAGATAATTAATAATGTTCGGACATAAAAATAAAATGAACTAAAATATTTTATTTAATAAAACAAAATACAAATCACCAATCACAAAGCATTATCAATGTCCATTATAAAATGTTATGAAATTACCAAAGATTCAATTATCTGTGTGTATGTGAGAGAGTATGTATAACCTCGTTATCATCGTGCCCAAACCGGTTTTTAGGCTTAATCGGATAGGATAGCTCTATCCTTGGGAATCTTAATTTTAGTCTCAATCAATTAATAAATGACTAGCTGTACGTGTGTGTTTTTTGCGTATGTCTAAACTTATGAAAGGGAGAGGGAGAGAAAGTGCGTGTGTTTAATGTTTTCGAACTAAATCGATGCAAGCTAAACCGATTCAGAAATATGGTACCTTGTCTAACTCTCTAACTTACCTTTAAAAAATATTAATAAAAAAGAACCAACTTATTCGGGCTGGATTGCAATTTACGAAGGCACTCACAGCAATTGACCTTTAAATGATTTTAGATAACAGTTTTCTTAAGTTTTTTTTTTTCAAAATTCACGCAAATGTTAAGCTGTTATACCGAACGACAGTGCACAATAAACGTAAATCCATAGCACGCATTTGCTTATATAGGCACAGCCAGTGTTGCAGACCGTCACAAAAAAAAAGGATAAATCAACAGGTATGGTACACACAGATACTGTGACACTAGCTAGCCCGAGGTATACTGTTACGAGTGGAGACGACACGACTTGCGACTACTTCGGCACTTTAGAGCGCCAAATCGGTGGGCGGTTGAGTCGAGTATTTCTAATACCCGAGTGGGCGTTTAGGTTGAAACTTTTGCTCAGTTGCAATTTTAACCCGTAAACATTCTGCCAATAATAAACTGTATACTTATATATGTATACACACGCATACATATTTATATATATATATATATATATATATATATATATTTATATATATATATTTATTTATTTATATATATATAAAAATATATATATACATGTATGTATGTATGTATGTATGTATGTGAAAAAGAGGAATGAGAGACTTCAGCTGCTCTTAATGCTTTCTTGGCCGTTTGCAAACTAAACTCAGCTATGCAAAACGTACATATACTAAACCCAGATGACTGCTGGCCGATTTCTTAAACTTTTCGGTCCCGATCTCTGTGTCGAACCTCCATGCCGGACTGTATGCCACGCTTTTGACAAATCGCCCGATGATTCTGAGATTTATAGCATTGCTGACGAAAATTAAACCAATGTGCGCTACAGAAAATGCTGTATATTAGTTCTTACAAGTATTAGTAAAGTCAGATATCAAAAAGAAATATGTAAGATTAAGATTGCATAAAAATATATATACATATAATATATATTGGATAAAAAATGTATGTGAAATTTCTTTTTGTGTTTTCAAATGCCTACTCTTCAGAACCTTCAAAATAATCAAAATAATTATAGTTCGTTAACATTGATTATCCCAAGGCACTTTCAACAAGTCAATGAGCTTTGCGCATACCAAACGAAAAACCCTAGATTATGACTTAGGTAATCCCAGCAAACTGAAGTATAAAAAAAATTTCTTTTTGTAGTTCAATAAACTTACGCAGCCAGCTAAATTTATGAAAGTTAATTGGGTCTATATATATATACAAACGTATATTTGAAATATCAGAAAATTATTACAACACGAAGGCATAAAATAAGTTAAGTAACTTCCTCTGTAGCGTATTTTATTTCAATAGAAAGTAAAGTCTAACTAAATAGAACATATATGTATATATAAATTACCAAAATAAATCTAAAAATACATTAATTTAAACAAATAAAATAAAGACTAACTTTAGACATTGTTCCAAAAAATATAAAGGAATTGCAAATTATGATGAAATATCTTAAAAATATTACAAAAGATCAATTTTAAATTGTAGTTGAATAATAATTAAAGTCTGACAAAATCCTTCTTATCTTCTCCAGACATCGGTCTTCAGCATGGTTTATTAACTAATTAATAATAATTTCAGCTGACACAGCGTTTTAATTTGCTGTTTAATTTTGTACTTTTTTAATCAGAGGCGCCTAGCGTGTCACAGATGGTGAACTTGGCACGCATCGTGTGCTGATAACACCACCCACATCAAATGCCATTCAAATTAATTTGTATTGTTACATCAGCTTCACAAATTGCGATTAGCTAAGATAAGCTGGTTTGGTTATTTTTGTAAATCGCAAGCCGCCTTTTTGACATGCAAATCAAATATAAAATACCAAATATGATCAGAATAATTGACACTTATTAAAAAGAATGATCGCACATGGCATAGATATTAATATCTGCATGCCGGAACTACAAATGCGCACACGTGCTGCTGGTTCAATCATCAGCAGATGATTCAGATGAATCACGTGACTGTCGACTGTCTGAACTGTTGGCAATTGATGCAGTACTTGAAGTTGGACTCACAATAACAATCATATATTTTAATACTTAAATATTGCAAACGTCATGCGTTGCTAAATTGATTGAATTGAAATTGAATCAATTGCGCGGATCTGTAAGGCATTAACCAACACTTTTGAGCGTGTAACAAAATCGATAGGTCATAGCGATGACAATATTTTAATTAGGCAATCACATCAAGAGCAGTGACTGTGGCGAACACATATCAGTTGTACACAAATATTATTTAAGACTATAACATATCACTTTTTGTAAGTAACTCTAAAGTAATTTAATAGAAATTGCATTAATCCATTTAATATGCTCTGTTTACTGCAGCTAAAGTAACTTATTTTAATACCTGTAACGAGTAGTAATCGCATACACAGCTCTACTATCGGCTATTCAGCTGGTGGAAAAAAAGGGGGAAGAAAAATTAAAAATAAGAAAATCATCATGGCTACATCAACGTTGCAGCTGGAATTTTCACAGGCCATGGCCGATTTTAAAAAAATGTTTCCGGACATTGACCGTGAAGTAATTGAAGCTGTACTGCGTGCTAATTTAGGTGCTGTGGATCAAACCATTGACCAACTACTCGCTATGTCAACTGACAATCAGGTACATATGTTATGTATGTGTGCGTGAGAGATTTTTATGAGTGTGTGTGGGTTTGATTGTGTATACTAAGAATCTACTAACTAACACTAACCGCACGTGTGATTAGAACGAAAAACTGCGCAATGAACTGGATGCTAATGTCTCACCACAACAGAGTCTCATCAATCTCAGCGACACGGACAGAGAACTGCGACGCAATCAGCACCAGCAGCTAATTATCGATGCAACGGATGGGAGCACAGAAAGTGCTGCCGCAGCCGCTACCTCTAATGTGGGTAATACGCAATTGCTGAGCACAGCAACAGCTTCGCCGAATCATCACAACACGGGCGCTTCGCCCAAACAGCGTCCGTTCGGCATTTCAACTAAGAGCGGTAGAGGCAGTACCATCAATACGCCCACCAAGCGCAGCACCAGTCACACCGTCGCACAATCCAACAATACAAGCAAGAATTGGAATCCCCCTGTATTAGGTGTCCTGCCACCTGGATTTTTGCGAGTGGCGCCCTCCGGCGGTCAGCAGGATTTCGAGTTGCCCGACGAACAGTTTGCGCTTATGCTACAGAATGAAGAATTTATGAATCAGTTGCGATGGAATCAGGATTTTATGAGTGCATTGGAAAAGGAACAGACCGGTAAGGGCAAGGGCGAAGATGAGGCACCATTCCAAGAGCGGCTGAAGAACATGGGCAAAATGTCACGCAAAAAGTTCTTGCAAATGGCGCGTGTCTTTACCTGGCAGCGCAATAAAAAGGCAACAACCGCCAAGCAAATTGATTCGTTGCCGTTGCGTGAGGAGCCCAGCGACGATGAAGATCATCATCAGCAGCGGCAACAGCAGCAATCTCAACACCAGCAACAACAGTCACATCAACAGCAACAGAGCCAGGTGCAATCACAGGGTCAATTGCAGTTGCGTAAATAAAACAAAAAATGTGGAATTAGATATCTAGACCCTAGAGTTCCATCGATTGTTATCTTATTCTTATAATATTATTTCATTATACAACTGGCATAAGTCAAATCGGATTCTAAACATGTTTACGTAGTAATCTCCACAATCTAACGTAATCTGAAATCTCGCTGCAGTCCTTGCATATATTTAATATATACAATTCTAGTTTTAAACGTCGTGTAATAGCCTGAAGTGCAATTTTCCAAAAACAAAACTCCAGTGCAATATTATTTTGTTGGACCATTATAAATTTACAAATTTGATAGTATTATATTTGTTTGTTTATTAAATCGTCCATTTTCGTTGTTGCCAAATTAGCATAAATTAAGTTTTATTCATAATTTTTTAATTGAAAGTTCTTTCAATAAGAACCTGATGATAGCTGGACTGATTCTTAATTCATTAACAAAAAAAAGCGAGCAGCGTAATAAGACTTACAAAAATAAATGTAAAAGATTTACTTATGTACAACTAGAGTACTTGCTATAACTCGAAAAACTAGTCATAAAAAAGAAACAATTTATGTACAGTTGAAAAAATATGCATTTGTGCTATACTCATTAACCAGAATCTACCAAAAATATAAAAATTGTAACATTACAAGTTATATAATAATTTAACGCCTGCTTAGTTGGCTTCTATTCTCGTATTCCATAAAAAACAGCAAAGGTAATAAAAGTCCATATCAAACTGTTGATATTACAGTGTATAATCCCATTAAAATGCAGATTAATATGTAGGCATAATATATACGTATATATATATATATATATATATCCATAGATATTTTGATGGTTATGCAACTATATGATTGCAATTTGTAATTGCACTTGTATTATAAACTATATTATATTCATATTCCAAGAATTAAATACAGCATCAAATATTTGTAAAATTCAAAACTATCTGTTTTACATCTTAGAAGAAGAATACAAACTAAAATAAAATTATAAACCTTAAAAACCATCCATATTGCATTTTATAAAATAAAGAAACATTCCACATTTCTTACATGAATTTATTTAAATTTTTTTGTATTTACTTTTTAAATTTTTTTGTTTTTTTTTTATTATATTTTTTTATAAACGTAATACATTTATTGTGGATACACGTTCGATTTTCTTATGTATGCGTGTGTACTGTTTTTTAGATGTTTCATTCTACTTTGAATTTATTGTAAGAGGGCATATTGGTTATTTGTATCTTTTATCTGTTACAGTTATTAATTTATTTTCATATACTTAATTCGTTTTGGGATTTACATTTTATATATAATTTATTATAGGACTTTTGATTGGGTTGGATTAACAGGATTTAAATTGTGTTTTCTGTTTTCTTTCTTTTTGAAGTTGCAATCAAAAAAGTAAATTGCATTATATCTACTGAATGAATTATTATATATATATATCGCTTCTTGATTATTGTTTATTTATAAATGGTTGTCATGTGTGGGAATTGTTATTTAATTATTTTTGCTTTTGTTTTTACTTACACAGAAATTGATAATTTTTAAACAATTATTTGTAAATTTGTTTTAAACTAATTACTAAAAATGGATTTTCGGTTTTGTTTGCAACATTTTGACATCTCATTTGCATACAATATTTTTATAAAATATGTGATTTTTTTGTTAGGCATACAATTGAATTTAGTTTTAGATGATTTGAAATTTCTTATTGTTATTTTTTTTTTTTGAAGAGTAACGACTTTTTATTTGATTCTTTGTATATAGATAATTTTTTTGTATATATGTATATTTATTGTATTTTATTTATGTATGTTTCAAATTGACAAAAAGAATTAAAGTAGCAAAAAAATAAATGAATACGAATGTGTTTAGTTACGAATGTTGCCTATTCAATTATTTTTTAGTTTTGTTTGTTGCATAATTTAAAAGAAAAACGGCTCAAAACGAATAAAAAATATGTTTTTTCTTTTATGGGTATAATAATTAGTTGTTAATCAGCAAAATATAGTATATAGTTATAATAATAGTAGTAGTCGTAGTAGAATGTAGTAATTGCAAAAATGTTTGCAAATTTAAAAACATAGCAAGCTTACTCTGCTTTTGTTTATGTATTGTATATCTTGGTTATTGCAATTTTGACAATCTTAATTTTTGTGAGTGTTTTGTATGCTTCTTGATTTTTTGTTTTTTTTTTTTTTAAACTTGTTACTCATTTTCTATTTTAATTTCTTTTCTTTTTTTCTTTGTTTTTGGAAGTCTTATAGGAGAACACATAGGGACTTTTTCGGTTTCTTTTGTTTCTTTTCGGGAGATTTCTTATTGATCTGCCGGACCAAATCATAGAAAATATCATTCACATTCACTTTGGCTTTGGCTGAGGTCTCCATAAACGCACAGTTGAATTGATTTGCCAAGCTTTTACCCAAATCCTTGCCAACGACACGCTCCTCCTCCAGATCGCATTTGTTGCCAACCAACACCATCGGCACATCATCGGTATCCTTAACGCGTAGTATTTGCTCTCGCAGGTCCTGCAGATCATTGAAGGTCGATTGTGCCGTTATTGAATAGACGAGGACAAAACCTTGTCCATTCTTCATATAAAGATCTCGCATTGCTGTAAACTGTTCTGTGCCGGCGGTATCTAAAATTTCCAACATACATTGTTGACCATCTACTTCCACCTGTTTGCGATAACTGTCCTCAATGGTGGGATCATATTTTTCAACAAAAATGCATTGCACAAATTGTACAGTAAGTGCGGATTTTCCAACACCGCCGCTACCCAAAACAACAATTTTATATTCGCGCATTGTTTTTTTTGTTATATATATATATATATATATATATATATATATATATATATATATATTTATATATATATATATATATAATATAAAAAATATATATATATATATATTTAAAGGCGTGTTTGGGCCTTATTTAAAACCAGGACAGTTACGTTCTAGCGTAGGCGGGTCACAAGGTGGTTTGGTTCAGTATTTATTGTTGTTTATTTGTTACGTTCTCTCTTCTCTCAACCTCTCTCTGAACAACAATTTATATATCTATATATATATATTTATGGGTATATATATATAATCACTAGTTTTTAGGCGTTGTTCGACGATTGCTTTTGCGTTGCAGTTGCAGGTGTTGTTCTTGCTAAAAGCTGTTGTTGTTATTATTATTTATTGATGTTGTTACTGTTACTATTCTTTGTTATTGCTGATAACCTTTATGCCACCAACCAACTCTAGCTGTATGCGAGTGTGTGTGTCCCTCCGCCACTCTATCGCTCTCTCCCTGTTACTCCGCTCAGGTAGCAAAGGTTCGTTTTCGGTTGTCGTCAAATTGTTGCTTTATATAAAAATTACTGTAGCACAAGCCTCTATCGTCGCCTCTGCCGCGACGCTGACTATGACAACAACTTCCGTTTTACAACAGAAATTGCTGCTGCTAATCTGCAGTTGGCGTTGCTGTTGCTGTGCAACAATGTTTGCTGAGTACTCAGTGTTTCTGTGTATGTATGTGTGTATGTGAGTGTATGCTTGTTTGTGTGCACTGTGGAATGTAAGAAAGCAATAGTTGTATTTTAAAATAGGTTGCAGTACAAATTCGTTTCTTTTCGAGTTTTTTTTAGTCTTTGGTATGCTGGTGCTTGCTTTTCGGAATGTACACTTCATTCGTTTCGTTTCATTCCTTTTTATAATGAACCCAAATGTTCTCTTCGCTCACTCAGCAAAATTGCGCTCTACCCTCAACATTTTTATGATTCATTTTTAGAGTTGTCGAGCGGCTGTACAGAGCACTGTTAAGCGCCTACCAAACAATATGCACACTTGTAGCATGCAAATCAATTTTATTTCTTTGTTCAATAAAAAAAAAACACTCATTATTGCAACAGCGGCCAGAGCTGACAGCTGCACACAGAATATGCTCAATATACGTTATTTTATTTGAGCACTGACATAAACTTTTTAACGGGGCAGGGAAGGCAGTTGCAAGCACCCGCATGTCACGGACACTGCAACTCTACGCGGAGTTTTACCTTGTTAACGCTGCGCACAAAGAAACTCTGCTTGTTATAGCTGTCTGTGCAGATTTCACACGATTTCCGATTTATTGTGCCGGTGTGTATGCGTGTGCAAGATAATGTGCCACGGCTCACGAAATATGTAATATTTTTTATTGATAACGATATATAATTCTAAGGCAAACAGATAACTATTTTTCGGCTTAGGCGCTTCTACTTGCTAACTCGCTCACACACTAGAAAGTGATTCATTTTCAGCGTTGCCATTCGTCGCGATATCACACGAGTGGCAGCATCAACCGATACTTTTTTCTATGAATGGCAACATTAACAAATATTAAACTTTTTTGATTTTACAATTTACTTAAGTTAAACAAAATAAAAAGCTCTACAGGTATAATTAAAACAATTCACTTATCAGCCAGTTGTGCTTTATCAACTTAGTTTTTATTTACAACAAAACAAAACTATATAAAACTAACTAAAATTTCGTATTGTATGAAATAGATAGCAAGCACTTTTAACGAATTTTAGTGACCATGCCAGCGGCTATCGTGACGCCTGCCACGCGCAGCATAACGCGTCCCAGTTCCTTAAATTCCGAATATCGTTCAATGCAAATCGGACGAGACGTCTCCAACTCGACCAGAGCACACGAGTTCTGGCCGAGACAACGAGGCTTCTTCTTTACCACCTCGCCGGTGCTTTTGTGTATGGATGCGGTCAGTTTGCAAACAACAGCCGGCTCGATCAGTGACTGATGATGGAGCAGCACCGGATAACCCATTGTAATGGGAACCTTAACGTTGAAGACAATGATGCGGCATTGGAACCGGGTAGTCACAGGGATTGGCATTTGTGGATCACATATAATGCAGCCCACGGTTATATTGTTCACATCAACGCCGCCTAGGGTTACAGAGATCTGATCTCCAGCAAACACACTTGTCTGTGTAAGTTCATCCATGCTCAGAGACTTAACTTGCGCCTGTTCACGACTTGCACCTACGAGCACCTTATCGTTGACACAGAGTGCACCTGTCTCAATGCGACCCGAAATACAAAAACCAGATCCTGTGCCCTTGTATATATCCGTTACAGACATTCTAAATGGCCGATCAACCGCTCGCTCTGGCACCTTGAAGTGTTCAATGACATCCAGAAGATGTGGTCCCTCGTACCAGGCTTTTAGACCAGGCTCTTGGGCACTTTTCGTGAGATTCTCGCCCGTTAAACCGGAGCAGGGCGTAAAGCAGACATCGGATTCCTTAAAACCTGCCTGCTTTAGGAATGATTTCATCTTATGAACAATCTCCTGGAAACGCTCCTTGGACCAACCTACGGTGTCCAGCTTATTGATAACAACACCCAGCTGATTAACCCCCAGCGAGCGCACAAGTATAGCATGCTCTCGGGTCTGTCCGCCTAATTCGAAGCCAGACTCAAATTCACCACGTGTCGCATCAACGACAAGAAGTGCCACATCCGCTTGCGTTGCTCCAGAAATCATGTTGGGTATAAAATCTTTGTGACCGGGGGCATCGAGCAGCGTTACAATCTTTGTTTTTGTCTCTATTCGTGATTGTCCCACATCCATGGTGATGCCGCGCGCACGCTCCTCTCCTGTTTCGTCTAGCACCCATGCGTACATAAAACTCTGCTTACCCAATTTCTTAGACTCTTGCTCGTGCTTGTGCATCACTCGCTGTGAAACGTTGCCAGTATCGTACAGCAGGTGACCCATCAGGGTACTTTTGCCCGCGTCAACGTGCCCAATGACAATCATGTGTATATGGCTTTTGTGTGAGGAGCGCTCCTGCTCGTAGAGCTCCTGTGTATTACGCTGCGCCTGATCCTTGGATACTTTGAATATGGCATTGGTACTGCGTCCCGCTTCGTCGCCGCCGTCAACAGGCGTATTCCGCCCAGACACATTGGGCGAAGCTGGCGCTTTGGGTGAGGCGATGTCAAATCCCCGTCTAGCGTCCTTTGCAGTGGAGAGCGTGATCTTTGTGGGCGTAGGTTTAGGCGTTGTTATAGTCTTTGCAGCTGGCGTAGCATTTAATTTCAACTTTTGTGGACGTCTGTTTTTGTCTTTTTTGCTTGTCTCCTCGTTGAGTATTTCATCGAGTACTTTCTGAATGTTGTAGTCGAAACGCATAGACGTCTCCACAATGCAACGTTCAGACACGGCATCGCCCACCACGCTGCGCACCTCATCCACGCAAGAACTGAGCTTCGCCTGCGCTGTATCATCTAGTTCCGGCATTTGAAAATTTTCGGAATCTCTGCGTGCCTTTTGATATACCTCATCTTCCTCATCCTCGTCGTCGTTATCATCACCATCTTCCGCTTCCTCCTCTATGTTCTTATTCTTCTTTATAAATGCCGACATACTGTGTTGTCCACGAGTCCGATCGAAAAGCCATTGCTGATCCGTTGGCGAAACGCAATCGTCGTCAACAGAATGGCCATAGACATCATCGTAACCATCGTATTCGTCGTTGTAGTCCATTCCGCGTACAATTCTGTGACGCGACATGTTAAACTTTATTGTTTTACTAATTCAGTTAAATTTCACAATTATTGAAAAAGAAAGTAAAATAGAATTTCATCGAATTGCAGGCGACTGAAAGCTCTGACTAATGGAGTTGCCATATTGTTTTAGTGAACTCTCTGGCGGTCCATCTTTGTGTGGAATAATAGCAGATATTGTAATATATAAACTATTTCTTATGTTTCGAAAGTACAATACATTTTACTTGGGCTATATTTTTAAAGAAAACATTGCAAAAATTTAAAAAACTTGTTCATATATATATTTCTGTTAGCGATTAGATTGGAATACAGTAGCATTATCCGGTGCAACTTGTGTTGAACGTGTTTACGCGTGCGATAGTAGTAACGATACTTTAGTTATTCTGTTTTGTGCATCACTAGACTTTCCACTCTTCTCCTCTCTGAACATTATCTTTTGTGTCGCGTAAAATATTAAGGAAAACAGTGAAAATCTTTACGAAGCAACCTAAAAAAAGCTTATAACACACGTTTCAATGTGTCGGAAAATGCAGGCGACGCAGCACTAAGCGCTCGTTCTCCGAGTTTTCAATTATTGTGAACAAAACGTAGGTCTACTTATATTTATGTACAATAACAACTGAAGAAAACAACAGCAACAAGAAACAGTATGTACAACGGCGCACGGGGCTTCTCCATACACGACGCATTCGAGGAAGAGGAAGAGGAGGCGATACGTGTCTATGGCTCCACAGTGATATCTACGCCAATGCGCGGCGGTGTTAGCGGCAGTGCCAAACAAGGTCGCTCCACCGAAGATGTATCCATACGTATACAGGATCCAAAGTAAGTTTGAAACCAGTTCCCCTTTTCTGGAACTAGTAGTAGTGTCACTGGTTCTTGTTCTGGGTCTCTGCGTGGGTTCCAGATGCTTGACAGTTGTTGGCACCATTTGCCAATGGAGTCGTGTGATCCCTTTGTGCTTCACTGATTTACAATAAGGAAGCTTGCAGCCATAAACAGCTTGTTAAAATTTTTGTTCTTTATGTGGCCAATCGAAAACTTTTGCAATTGTATAGGACACATATATATCATTTTATATTGGGGTAAATTTTCCATATTTAGGTTTTTGCAGCTCAATTTTGACACTCCTTGAACCACCTAGTAAGCAGTTGCTATTGAAAATTGTGTCATAGCTGACATAGAACCAGCCCAGGCCTGCAACTAAAAACCAGCTATCGCCATGAAATGATAAAAATCAGACAACTCAACTTGCAGCTTCAGCAGCTGTTTGCCAAACCTTATAATAACTTTACCTTTTGCGGATGCCGTGTGTTACTTTCCGCTTCCTTGCCGGAAATGCTCAAAGTAGCATTCCATACATTTACAAGTGTATGTCTGTGTCGCTAAGTGTGTACGCTAAAAGCGCGTGCGTGCTTCATTCATACACATTATATTTACAATTTCTAGGAGCTCTTCTCTAGTTGATATTCCATCCATTATGCATGCACGTCGCGTCTTAAGGTACAACACTACGTTATTATGGAGATTAAAGCAGACTATAGTAATGCGGATGACGTCGTCGCCGTCTGCCCATTGTGTCAGAAATGCATCCAGCCCAATTTGACATTCAATTGTAAAACATCAGTTGCGCATAAATTTCGTCGTTCCTTGAAGACATTATTTTGCATAATTTTACTTTTTTCACGACATCCAACACCTTGATTTGAGTCTAGCCTTCGGTCGCGGTCGACGCAACGAGCTGCACTTGTTCGACTTCATTGTTATTGAGTAATATAAACATGCACACACATACATATATACAGATTCATTACGAGTACAGTGAAAGCACCACTTGTAAGCCAAGCAGTTATCCTTGAGAAATATGTTTAAAAAATATTTAAATCAAAACAAAACAGTCTTGATTACTTACTCACAAACTTCTTATTGATAATTTATGGGCTTAGTGAAGACTCTACCTAATGAGGGGAATGTTTGCCTTTGAGTTGTCTTCTCTTGCATTAACGCGGAACAATTTATGTTCGTAAAGGGATAGAATATATTTGTGAAAGTGCTTCCTGTGTGCTTGTATGTGTATTGTCTGACTTTGCGTAACCTCAGCGATAAGCAGAATTAACGTTAATTCTATTTCATCCTACTTATTTGCTTTGTTTCTTAATTAACAGGGGCTACAGTAAGTATGCCGAAGATACAACGTCGCGGGACAGTGATTCGCTAATACAGGAATATGGCAATCTGCCCACTGAGGAGACGAACACATATTGCTGGCGGCATCCGAAGGTGCGCGAAAATTGGCGCACTGTCCTAGCTGCCTTTACGCTGCTCGTTGTGGGCACTGGGCTATTTGTAATGGGCACCTTTGCTATCGCTGATCCACACAATACATCACAGGGTGTTGTATTTTTTGTTGCTGGACTCATTTGCTTTATACCAGGCGCCTATCACGTTGTCTATATATGGCTGGCGGCCAAAGGATATCGAGGGTTTGACTTTTATCACTTGCCTCTTTTTACATAAGCGATAGAAGATCAGAATCTTAAATGTAATGGTTGATCCAATTTGAATCAGCAGAACGCCCTCCCCATACTCCCTCTATATATGTATTTATATAAACAACTTATTTTATATTTATGTAATTAACTCAATATTTCTTATGTGTATGAAATAGAACTTGCAACAGATAAATCCTACTAAATATCTCCATAAAAATCCCAAAATCGAATTCTAGCTTTAATGTATGTATTTTTTTAAAAAGAAAGATATGCTTAAAATACAATGTTTGGTATACCCATAAAGTGTAAAAGATACGTATAAAAAACACTAACATACACACACATTATTATTATTTAAAATATAATGAAAAACGAAAGACTTTGTGTATGATGGTAAATGTTGAGCCCGACTTAGTGTTAAAAAAACAACTGTGTAAGCTGTACTTTTATTGAAATTTAATTGCACCAAAAATAACAAACTAAATCGAAGCTGCGCCGACCGCGCAAAAAAGCTAACGAAATGTTTACTTTTTCGAACATGAATCTATATATTAATATAAATAAATAAATAAATATATATATCTTTATATATTTTTAATTATATATATATATATGTATGTATATATATGATTAATAAGCGCCTGTCTAGGCTGCAATTAACTTAGTTTATATAACCTCTATAGAGAGAGAGAAAACAAAGAACCTTCTTGAAAAAAAAAAAAAAAACAAAAAATTAAAACCAAAAGAAATTTATTAGTGATATAAGTGAGTAGCGCTGATACTGCTATACATGCGTTAATGCGCTAATCTTCGAACCCTAACCAATTCTACCCGTCCTCCAATGAAATTATACATACAATTTACTGACACGCTCACACACTCATCAGACATCACATAAAATAGCTAAAAGAAATTTTTAATTCTATTTTTTTTATTACATTTCGCCGTTTAGTTTTTAATGCTCTATTTTTCTAAGTATGTTGAATACGGTTGAAAAAAATAATATGGCATATTCATAAATTCAAAGCTAGGCACAATTATAATGTAAAAACTTTATTTTGAATTATACTCGAAATATTTACGTATACTAAGAAATGCAACAGCTTTTTGCTTTTGACTTTTGTTTATTTTTATTCAATTATTGATGCTTTTTAATTAGAAAGCATTAAAATATATTTTAAAATTTTTAAAAATTTCAATTGTGTTGTAATTTGATTTATATTTGTATTAATATGAACAGAGGAATAAGTAATAGGAAGTATTGAGAGTAATATCAGATTGGAATACATTATATCTATGATAGGTACAACATGAAAACAATGGACTTGACATAGAACTTTATGCCTTTATGCCATATTTATTTTATAATTTATCACTTTTTGATTAGTTAGATGAACTCTTATTCTTTTTTGATTCGCAACCCTTTCACTTATTAGCTAGAACTTTTATCTTGCGGTTGAGAATGGTTTAACTACATGTGATAAAACGTGGGCTTTTAATGTTAAAGAAAAGAGAGTAAATATTTAATCTATATAACTTAACATTTATGCATATTTAATCAGTGCTGGAAGTTCATAATATATTATATATGATATGATGTATAAATTTATATGAATGTCTCATTAATCACAAAACAAATATTTTTTTCAGATTGCTTTTGTTTATAGATTTAGTTAATAACAATTGAAAAGGATATTGTAAAATCAAATTGGCCCGTATGTATTGCTCAATATACTGCAAAAAAATTAGATAAATAAGGTATTGTGTATTTTTGCAGTTTATGTTCTCTATTAAACGTTGCTCGACTTTGACTTTGACATTGACTTCGATAATTAACTATTAGCCTTTAAATGTGGTTAACTAAAAAAGCCCCAATGAAATAAAGTTCATAAAATTACCAATCAAACGAGTCCATTATTATATCTTCTACTTCATTGAGCGAGGGTGGGAGGATATATTAAACTAAGAGTGTGCAATGCATATAAGTAATACACCAGTATGTAGTATTGATGCTCTGAAATGACTCTCTATACAGACTATATGAGTTAGATATTAAATCATGTAGAACTTATTCTATGAATCAAGTTGTTAAGTTTAGTCGCGAAAACAGTTATTAAAGATAGTATTGCGGCATTCGCTCATGAAAAAGCTCAAAGGTCATACTTGACTTTATTTAGCAGTAAATACGTGAGCTGAATACGGTATAAGCCAGTTGAGCATGTTTAGTTCTCGTTCATGGCAAATGGTCACCAGGCATCGACCAAACACTGCAAGCTGGTCTAAACGGGGCCTGGCAACAGCAACAGAGACAGGATAGAGGCATAACCAGAATCGCAACAGGAGGTGCTGGCTGGGTATTTGGCATATACATATATCTATATATTGCGCGAAGTTCATTAGACCTTTTGATGGGCCTCTTTCTGCCTCAATGGGTACTTGTCTGGTGCTCAGCGTGCAAAAGCGCTCAATAGCACGAAATGAAACATTTTACCGAGTTTTGCACAAAAAAACTGATCTAAAAATAATCCACGCAACGGAGTTCGCATCGATAGCAGCCAGAGATGTATGATCCGGAGGCGGAGTCGGACGACGACTGCGAAGTTTACTGTAAGTGGCGAAAAACTCGTGTCGATTAGCGGAACAGAGCCAGAGTATTAATATGCCACTTATGTTTGATTATTATGCAGTCCTGAAGCCCGTGAACGAGTACAACATTGCAGACAAGATTAACGAGGCCAACAAGCAGCTTTTTGCGCTATACGAGGATCATGACAATGTGGGTCAGTTGAATGCCAACAGCATTACCAGCAATCGCAAGGTAACTTTTGCGCCCAATTTGGAGGATTACGAGCCCACAGCGCAGCAGTCTATCCAGGAGGAGCTGTACAGTCCGCCCGCTGGGCTGCTGGAGCAATTGGCGCAGCTGAAGCTTCAAACCGAACGCGAACGATTTGCGCCCATCGAAAAGGAGCCATCCAAGGAGCTGGAGAATACAGTAATGGAGCAGAAGGCAGCGAAGCCACAGTTGGAGGAGGAAATATGCGAGGAAATTTTAGACCTAAGCGAAGTGGAAAATGGCAGCAGTAACAGCTACAGTATGCAGTCTGTACCAGCTGCTCGGACTGGAAGCATAGACCACGCGGATGACGACTTCTCAGGCGTGGATGAGGATGATCTGATTGCTGCCACCGAAACGCTTGCAGCATGCACGCAAAAGCTTCGCATAACACGTCAGAATACATTCGATTTGAATAATGAGCAAATGGCAGAGGAGTCGGATCAGAGGAGTTTGACCAATTTGCTAACTGAGTCTGATTGCGAGGAAGATGAACGCGTTGTGAACGAGGCACGCATCAAGCTGCGGCAAGCTTACAAAAGTCTATATAAAACACTAGATGTTCCAGGACAGAAGCAGATCAATCGTCTAACTGGAACCAATTATGGGCATGAGGATGTGGAAGAGGATGATTTATCCGTCATTGTTGCTAGCTATATACCCGAAGCTTTTGAGCTGGATCAGCATAGCGTTTATTACAAGAAAGAAGGCGAAGCTGATCGAAAGCTGAACACTAATAGCACCAACAAGACATTCTTCAATGCCCGCCATTTTAGTTTTCGCCGTCGCTCCACGCCCACAGCAACAACTGTTGCCAGCGTGCCGGATATCAAAATGAACTATAAGATTTGTTGCGAGCATCGGCATGCGCTGCAGAGGGAAAAGCTACCTCGTTACACAGGCTACATGTCCGAGTACGGCCTGAGTGCAAAGCAGCTACAGCAACGTGAACAACAGATGCGACGCAAACAACGCTTTGCCATAGAACAAACGCTGAACCGAAACGAACATGAGCTGAAGAAAATGCAAGATAATGAACGTGCCTTCACAACCTGGCTGAAGAACAAAATGCGGTATCCCATCAATAAAACACGAAACATGTTCGATGCAACTCGGAAGCGAGGAACTGTGGTAGCTGCAGCCAATCCGAATGCCCACCAGCAACGAGAGCGGGAACTACGATTGAGTCGCAAACGTGACAGCCATGAGGTTTTTCATTATCGTCATCTCCTGGGAAATTGGAACTAGTAGGAACACAATAACTACATAGATATACATATTTACGTATTATAATTATTTAATTTGTATTACAGTTTTCATAAATGATGCAATAGGTGCAGGAAAAGAGAAGTGTAAAGAAGTTTGTGGTGAAGTAGGTTCAACAGTGAAATACAATATGATGTACAAAACGGACATAGTATATTGTAAAAAAATTAGTGGGAGTGTGGTAGGAGTGTGTGTCTCCAAAAATGTACAGATGTATTTGTAGTTGCCTGTTCTGTGTGTGTGTGTACTTCCTGTCCTATTTTAACTACCGCTACATGTGTCCTTGCATGTGTCCTTAACGTCGCGACTTTTTCGATTTGTGGCCATTGTCGCGACTGTCTTCACGGGAGCGTTTCCGATCCTTATCCTTGCTGCTATTTTTGTGCCCCGACGATGAGGAGGAATGATGCTTGTCGCGATTATGATATTTATCCTTAGACGATTTCGATGGGCTTTAATGAGAGTAATAAATTTATTTAAATAATAATTCAATTATTTTAGTCGGTTGAGTTGGAGTTGAAGTACAATTTTGAACAAAATTTTTGCATAATTTATGAAGTAGTTTTTTATTCTATAACGAAAAAACATTTTAATGTATGATTTACATTAGAAAAAAATTGGTCAGTAAAGTAAGACTTTAAAGCAGTTCAACTATATAAATTCTATGGAATTAATTATTTATAGAGCTTTAATTCGATTTCCTGTCAAGTTTCTCATACTCCTACTATTTTTTAAATCAATTAATTTTATATTACCATATATCAGCTATATTAAAAAATTCAATATTCCAATTCTAATTCAAATTCGATTTTCTATATAATAAATATATATTTCTTTCGACTTTAACGCAAAAAGAAGTCTTATGAAAAATATTTCTTCTGCTAATTTTGGTTCCTTTTGTCAGCTGCTAATTGTATTAGATATTGGGACATTATATCAAATAGTTACTATACAGTTGTTGTATAAAGGAAAAACTTTTAAGATATCTTTAGCAATTTTAAATTTCAATCTAACCTTATACGTATATTAGTTAGAAGTCTTACCTATTTGCTAAAAAGTCATTAGTTGAAGTATTAAAACCAGAACGCTCTTAAGAGTGCCTAACTAAATCCTAACTAAAAAATTGAACATTTTTAACAAATTAATAATTAATAATTACTTCATAAATAAATTCCAAAAACAATTAAATTTAAAGTCGATTGCGGATGATCTTTGTTCGATCGAATAATTAAACAATTAACGTGATTTGTTGATGTTGTGTGTGAAATGTATGTGTATGTATGTATGTTGCGTGCGTGTGTGAATACGTTAACAAACCTAGATGAGCTGCCATGTTTGGAGCTGGAGGATTTTAAATGTGAAGAGGAATTCGACTTATGCTTTTTACTGTTTGACGATCGCTGCTCCTCGCGCTCGCGACGACTGTGTTTGCATGAATAAGTATAGTAATTAAACAAATTAGAGAAGAGAGAGAAAGATAGAGAATTTAAGAAAAAAAAAAACATACACATATGTGAATGTCCTTGACCCTCTGCTTACCTGTGCTTCGAGCTTTTGCCATGCTTCTTTGTCTCGAATTTTCCGTTGCGTTTATCATCGGTATTGTAATCATTGTTACGATCTTCCTCTGCGGCCTCACGCTCCAAATCTGACCAGTCCTTGCCAGATTCCTCATCAGATCCCAGCTCTGCAAGGTAGGCATATGTAAATCGAATTAAACGAAAAATTTATGTAAATACCATCACTGTCATCACTTTCATCCTCGGAAGCTTCCGAATACTCGGAATCATCTTCATCAGTTTCATCGTCTGATTCGGCATCTGTAGGGTTATAGGCTTCATCCTCCTCTGATTCAGCTGATTCGTTTTCGTCTTCGCTGCCTGATTCCGGATCCAAAAATGTCCAGCCGCCTTGTTCGAAGAATCCTTCAGGATCATCGGTAATTGTCTTCATGATCTTCTGCCAGTTGAGCGATTGCACGCCTTCAGAGTAGCGTATGTCGCAAGAGCTGCAATGACAATAGGTTGGGCAAAACTTATGAAACACAAATGCAGAGGTCACTCACTTCAACCATTCCTTGACGTGATCCAGCATATTCATGGGTATGGCATTTACCATGGCCACTTTTTTGTTGTACTCTTTGAATACAAAGATCATGTCAAAGTTACGCAAATGAAACTGAACTCGCTCAAAGTGCACCAGCTCCACATCGTCCAGGGTGATAACAAATGGTGGCCACTCGGTAAGATTGACCAACGATCCAGATGTCGGCTGCAACGTTACTGTGCTTCGGAAGGGTGCCCCAGGGAAACCTAATTCACGGAACGGCGTATCGAATTCCACTTGTGCCTTGGTCATCGCTTCAACCTTTTCGCAAAAGCTCTTGAAGGCCGTCTTCAACTTTTGGCGAAGCTCACGTTCCGCCTGCTCAGCAGCTAAATCATCACGATCGTGCATATGCTGATGCTTGCCCAAATCTGTGGTGATTTCTCCAACCTCCGTATAAAACTGTACATCGACATGTTTCTTTTTGCCAAACATAATTGCGTATTTCAAATGAAAATGAAGCAGTATAATCATTTCACCATCGCAAGGCTGGAAAAAGGCGCTCTTTATGTTATTATAGAGGATGTCAACCTTATCGCCGCGCACAGAGATGTAGCGAAAGCCATTGGTATGCGCCTCCAAGCTGCCCGTCATGCGTTTCGTTACAATATTGGGTCGAATGTACAGATCCTTTAACTTAGGATTACCCTTGTTTTGGGACAATATAAGTGTATCTTGTTTAACCAAATCCTCTTTTTCACGCTCCTCAGCCTCACGAGTTTTGAAACGTTTTTGCACCTCCTTAATCAAACGAAACGCATTGTTCAGATTGGCAGATGGAGCCGCTACCTCGCCGTGTTCCTTCACGTTTGAACTGCGATAGGTGCTGCAATTGATAATAAAATATAATGTATAGATGTATAAAAAGAGCACAGTTTCTACTTACACCTCCTTGACAAAGGTCGCCTCTGGTTGCGGATAGAGTCCGCCTTCGTTGCGTCCCATTGTGGCGCCAGGATGAAAAAAATTTATGCGCAGATACGTATACTCGCCCTCTACAGACTGGGATATATTCTTAATTGTGGATATGTGGAAGGGCACCTGAATGCCAAACACTGGCATTATGACTGTCTCATATTTTTTGTCCACATACAATTTGAGCTCCTTAACCTCCGGCTCCCGAGGTATTTGACTCATGGACTTGTAGGATACTGTATTTTTGCGCACCTTCTCCACCTCTTTGGAATTGCCCTGCTTCGCTAAACGTTCGCGTGCCCGTTCGTTGAGCTGCTGAGCTAGTTCACGTTGATGTTCCTTGCGCTTCTCCTCGGTGTTGATCTCATTTCGCAGCTTGGACTCGAGCACAGCATTGCGCTTGCTGCGACCTAATATTTCAGTGCCTTGATCAGCCTTGGCGGCCTTCTTATCATCCGCATCTTCCTCCTCATCGTCATCGTCTTTGATGAAAATGCCTACATTCTTGATTTTTTTCTTAGAGGGTGTCATCACATTTGCCGGACCCTGTTCTCCTACCAGCACAGTGTCACCAATGAACAATGCATAGGTTTTGCCCTCCTTATCTGTGGCTTCAGGATTGGTTAAATTCGAAATGCCAACGTGCAGATTGAAGACCATGTTCTTTTTGATTAGCGCCTGACACTTGGGACCAATCACGATTGAATTTTCACGGAATTCCAGACCCATGGCAAATCCAAAACTCTTGGTTAGATTCTCAACCATACTGGGTTTCTCCTTTTTAACATAAGCAAGCGTCTTATCGTACACCTCACAGAGCTTGGCACTGGGGACAAGTAGCTTGAGTATCTCCTCTTGTACATTTACCAGAAACGTGTAATTCTCCTGCATCGCCTCTGTGGGATTTACCAAAAAGGTACGTGAAATATTGGAGCAATAAGATTTGTAGCGCGCGCCCAGCGAGCACACAATCACCCCAAAGTGCAAATGATTTTTATCAGCAGCTGCAGAGAATTTCAAGCTATAGGCGCCGCCAGACTGAATAATTGGAGGATATGCCATGTCAAGCGAACGTGGATCCAAGCCGCTTGTATATTTCTTTTCAGCTATAGCTGCTTCGCAGCCATCCGCCAGCTTAGTGTGCTTTACTTTCTGCAAATAGTTAATTGAAATTATATACAATTGAATGGAATTTTATTGAGGTACAACCTACCCTATCCGAATCGATGATGTCCATGATTTCATCTTTCAGATACTTGTTGAATATTTCCATGGAAACCAGCGATGCCTTACGTATATTGTTGATCTCTGACTCGTCTTTGGGACACATCAAGTATGCAATTATGGTGCTAATGTCCACATGTTCAAATTTGGCAGCAGTCAAAAGCTTTTTCCAGGATTCGCTGAATTCGCCAGGAAACGCATCCTTAGTGAAAACGCCCAATCGTTTGCCCTTCTTGGAATTCTGCATGGTTGTAATTAGCTTCTCAAAGTTTGCCTGATCTTTGTCGTTCTATTGCGATCAAATTTGATAAGCAAATTGTATATATGTGGTTTTTATTGCCAAACTTACACGATCCCGCACGAGTAGCTTGATTTCCGGTACACCTTCTTCGTTGATGTTTTGTGCCTGCTTAAGGAACTCAATTTTCTTTTTGCTAGTCAGAAAATATATGGCATCCGAGGCAAAAACTGAAATTGTGTCCGTCAGTTCGTAGCCAAGCAGCCAAAGCTGCAACGCCATAGACTTTGAATAGATGACATCCTCATCTACACCAACGACGCTCATGATGCAGTCCAAATTGCTGAGCACATTGTCGTGCCCAGTGCTAGGCGCCTGTTGAAGAAAAATGAGAATTTTGCATTAGAAAGAAATTAAAAATCATTCGTTCTAACCTAAATTGTTGCTGGCATTATTTTTGTTATTATCTGTTTTCTTTTTTGGTCATACATGACGAAGGATTTCACAATATCATTTCGTTATTTCAGCGTACGTCGAAATAAACGTGGACTCGAAAAACCGTAACATTTACGAGTTCTGAGCCCGGCATGCAAACAGATTCCTGGACTTACCTTCCATTCTGTATACAGGCGTTTTATTCGACGAACAAATGATTCCTTATCTATGACAAAGCTCGACATGATGCCAGCTAAAACTTATTACGTTGCTAATATGTTATCCGTCTTACTTAATAATTTAACACATAGCGCAAATTCCGCCAGACGGACGATTTGCAAAAAAATGCGCGGTGGCCGACGCGTGGACATTCACGTGTTGACGGAAAGCACAATATGTTATCGAATTCGATATTAGATTGTTGTCGATACATTGATTGACGGTTGAACGTGACTTACGATAGCCTGAACGATAGTTTACCCTGCGAAAAACGATCGTCTCCGCTCTAGTTTAACAATAATCAGCTGTATGTCAGCGAGAAAAAATGGGCGAGTTTCTTAATGAAAATAATGCGTGTGGTCAAAATTTACTGAATATTGTTTCTGTGGGCAACTCCATAATTGCTGAAATACTACGACTAAAAGAATATGTGCCCAGCATTTACAGGTAAGCTTTCGCTTACGACAATTTAAATTCCAAATTATTTTTTGTGCTTCGCAGATTGGAAACCGCAGCTGATAAACAAAAATATGCAGATATTATTTTAGACTTCAGCTATTTCAAAGTAGCTGAATCGCAAGAGAAGAAGATTGAGGATAGCCCAGTAAGTATAAGGGTAATAGTGCACGCCTGTCATTTAAACTATGTACTGTATTTTTATAGGAGCTTAGCGACTTGGATTTGGAAACTCGCACAAATCACCTGCAGTTGATAACTCGTTTCTACCGGGCCTTTCAGAGTGTGCATCATTATGCTACAGACTTGCATCAGTATATTGAGGAACTAAACAGTGGTTACTATATACAACAAACGCTGGAGACGGTGCTGCAGGATGCGGAGGGAAAACAGTTATTGGTGAGTGAGTAAATGATATAAAGAAAATAAATTATGTATAAATCCTGGTATGCAGTGTGAATCGCTCTATTTGTACGGCGTTATTTTGCTCGTCGTGGATTTGCATATACCAGGAGATGTGCGGGAGCGCCTCTTGATAGCCTATTATCGCTATAGCGGCGGCGATGCTACGCCCAGCGGCGATGATAGTAACATTCATGATGTATGTCTGTTGCTGCGCTCCACGGGCTTCATACAGCCGGTACAGAATCACTCGGTGCTTCCAGTGAACAAAACAGTGGCTGTACCCAACTATCCGGAGTCTTACTTTGCACGCTTTCGCTTCGATACGAACTTCATAGATTTGGTTTTGGCTCGCTTGCGCTGTGATGACATCTACAACCAGCTGACAATCTATCCACATCCGACGCATCGCACCACAGCGCTGTCCACTCAGGCTGTGATGCTTTTCGTTTGCCTTTATTTCTCGCCCCAGGTGCTGCATACACAAAGTGCCCAGATGCGCGAGATTGTCGACAAGTTCTTCAACGATAATTGGACGCTTTCCATTTATATGGGAATCACTGTGAACTTGATAGATTCTTGGTCATGCTTTAAGGCCGCAAGTACCGCTGTGGCCCATGTGGTTACACCTATCGCTCTGGACACTCTTTGCAAGCAGAAGCGTGAACAGATGAATAAAACACTTCAAAAAATCGAAGAGATTGTACGTGAAGGCGTCTTGGACGATGCATTTGTGCTGGAACATGCCAATCAGATAATAGTGCTGATGCGACAAGCTAATGTGCTGTTACGATGGTATTGTCTTCACACACGACCCGCCGTACTTCTAATTTTTAACCAGACGACGATGTTAGCGCAGCTACATCAAAAATTGCTTACTGCACTTAAATTCGACTCCGGTATGCTCTACCACCTGTTGCTGGGTTGTGGTCAATTGGAACTGAATGTCAGGGAGCTATTGGTTGAGCTTCGAAAGAATCGCGAACAGCGGTGGACGGACAATCGGGATGAGGCAATTCAGTATCTGGGAGAATTAAGTGAATCCTTTGCGGGATCGCGACCATTAACCAAAATCGAAGCGAATCCTCATCTGCAGGAGTGGTTTGGTCAGATCGCGCAGCGTTTACAAAAACTTGAGTTGAATAAACCACAAAAGTCGGGACGACTGATTATACAGGCAATGCAGGCATTGGACGAAGTTCAGGAATATCACAACTTACATGCAAATATGCTGGTCAAGCAGCAGCTGCAGGAGACGCGCGACTTATTAAATCGCATGGCCCAGGTAGGGTTATGATAGTATTATGATAGATGCTTTCGGTGTTAATGTTATATATCCTATAGTTAATCAACCTAAAAGAAGATATCGAGATCCACATTCAGATGATTAGCGACTTTAGCTACGCCTGGTGCTTACTGCAGCGAGATTTCACTGTGATCATGCAGAATCACATTAAAGCCCTACCACCCGCTGTCATTAGCATAAGAGCTGTGTTCCTGAAGCTGGCCAGTACGTTGGAGGTGCCCCTAATGCGTATCAACCAAGCCAAAAGTGAAGATCTGATCTCTGTCTCCAACTATTACAGCACAGAGCTGGCAAACTTTTTGCGACGTGTGCTACAAATTGTGCCGGAGACGATGTTTAGCATTCTGGCAAGAATTATACAGCTGCTGACCAATGATATTAAGGAGTTTCCAACACGTCTTAATAAGGATAAGCTACGCGAATATGCGCAATTCGAGGAGCGTGCGAAGGTGGCGCAGCTCACCAATTCCATTGCAGTCTTTACGAAAGGTATATTAATGATGAAGACGACTTTGGTGGGAGTCATTGAGCTAGATCCTAAACAGCTGCTTGAGGATGGCATACGTAAGGAACTAGTCAATCACTTGGCCAACGCCTACAATTTAGGTCTGATATTTACGCCAGAGAAGACCAAGACGTCTGTACAGTTGCTCCAGGAGAAACTCCAAGCGCTGGCTAAGACCATCGAGGGCTATCGCCGATCCTTTGAGTATATCGAAGACTATTTGCGTGTACAGGGTCTGCGCATATTGCTGGAAGAATCGCAGCGTATCATTAATTACAATGTGGAAAAGGAATGCAATTGCTTTCTGCGAAACAAAGTACAGGATTGGCAATCCCGCTTCCAATCCCAAACAATACCAATACCAAGCTTTCATCCACTGCAAGGAGATGCCAGCAAATCGAACAATTTCATTGGGCGTCTTGCAAACGAAATCTTGCGTTGCACGGACCCAAAACAGACGATTTATTTAGATTTGAAGTGCACGTGGTATGAAAAACGTGCACCGCATCAGCAGCTGTTAGCTGGCTGTGCCTTCTTTAGCGTGCTCCGAGAGGCCATGGCGCCAGCTGGGATGGTGGGTCTAGAGCGGCTTTACGCGCACATGCTGGCCGATGAACTGAAACGTAATATGGACAGACTTCAAAAGAATTTAAGTACGGATCGAATGTGGTGTGATGCGTTAAGCAGCCTGACCAAGGAGCTAGAATCGCGTGACTTTCCCGGCGAACTGGCCAAGCAACCGCTTAAGTATTATCAAGGCTATACGCAACGTTGGCTAAAGGTGTGGCCCACACTTCTTGACTGGATACTTTCTATAGGACACAAGCAGTTGCTGCGTCAGCAAATTGCCGGGGAACTAAGCTTTAGCAGCAAGTGTGATGCCAAGTTACTGGAGAATACAACGGATACGCTAAATCGGTAAATCGGGTTGACAAAACAAAGCTTGACAGTTTGCCTAATCATTCTCTAATCTACAGCGCCTTGTTGCTGGAACTCTCCAGTAATATGAAACTGTACGATGAGCAGGGCGTGGGAATGTTCACCGAGCTGCAAGAAATACTTCACTATACGGGCAATTATGACCCGCTGGAGCAGATTTTTATGGCTCCCAAAAATACACACAATATGTCCTTATTTCTTTTCCTCTTTACCATTGCGCATGTTGTTCGTTTACAGCATTCCACAAATACGGACTGTTTGCTGCCTAAGACTGCTAAAGATGTCATCGATTGTGTGCCCCTGATATTGGGGCTACTAACAGTACTTAAACAGTTCCACAAGAATGTCAAAATGCTGTATATCTCCTACATGTGCCAGTATGTTGTAATTGTGGCAGAGGCACAGCTACAGTGAGTATAAGCCATTTGAGATTTAGATTAACACTTCATTAACAATTTTTATCTTTATAGGGATAAAGAGTTGCTGGGTGCAGAGGTGAATACTATGCTGCACTTCCTGCATGCATTCGTACGCATGGCTGGTTTGCCACTTAGTGTCCTAGAGCAGCGTATACCCAATATGATTTTAAGTGAGTTTGATTATTTAGCGACCTCTGTCAAGTAACGCTCAATTACATATATGTAAAAAAAAAAAAATAATAATAAATATGTAATATAAAATATTAAGTTGGCTTGTTTATACTTCCAAAAGTTAAAAATTACTAATTTATTTAGTGTTTTATTCTCCAGAAAATTATTATAGATGTGAGTAGTGCTGTGAAATGTATTTTTGAACAATAAAAAAGGAAAAAATGACTTAACTAGTTGTATATTTATTTTAATCTCAGCTATTGAAGTGGTAAGACAAAGCGATTTAACTTGTCCGAATGGAATATGAATTTAATTACTTGTATTGTGTGTTCAAATGTGCGCAATTTTTAACATTTAATTATCAATAATAATTTTAATTTCTTAAACTTTGGTTGAAGCTAAAACATTTTAGTAAAACAAATTCCGGAACGAAGTGGGGACAACATCTAAATGTTAGTTTATTTTGAGCAGCTTTCGCTTATGTAATGACAGTGGGCGCATTGCGGCCAGTAAACTTCGGAAGCTGCGATATTTCCAATGCAATATCTATTAGCGGCTTTAGCATGACACCCGCCTGGCCCAGCACATTCTCTTTCTCATAAGAGTCGATGTACAAGCTACAGACAAAGGAAACACCATTTAATGGTAAATAAAATTAAATCAGTTATCTTGAATACTTACCGTACGGTAGCTCCTGAGCTGCCTGTACCACTAAGGCGCATCACAATGCGGCTGCCATCGTCGAATACAATACGCAATCCCTGCTTGGTTGCCAAGGATTTGTCAACAGGGTCTGTGTAGCTGAAATTGTCCGCCTTCTTGACTTTGTAAGTCTTGCCTCCGCTGGTAAAGCTCTTGCCTACAAATTCAGCAGCTATGATGTTTTTCTCCATGGTGGCCATCATCTCATTGCAGGGATCCAGATCACATTCCTCGTAATCGTAGCGTGTGAAGTAGTTGCGCCCATAGGTGGACCAATGCTGCTTTAGAATATCCTCGATACTCTTGCCCGTGTGTTCCATAACCGAAATCCACGCCAGCACCGCCCAAATACCATCTTTCTCTCGTATGTGAGCGGAGCCGGTGCCGAAACTCTCCTCACCACATAGACAGAGACGTCCAGCATCCATGAGATTGCCAAAGTATTTCCAGCCGGTGGGTACTTCAAATACCTCTTTCCCCAGCTTCTTGCCTACTAGATCTACGGCTGAGGCAGTGGGCATGCTGCGCGCAAAGCCCTGCACGCCATTCTTCTTGAAATATGGGATAGCCTCGAGGTAGTGTGCTATGACCGCCAATGAGTCGCTTGGGGTTACAAAGAAAGCCTTGCTGCCAATGATCATGTTGCGATCGCCGTCGCCATCGAAGGCGGCGCCAATATCATAATCTCCTTTGGCCACAGTCTCTACTAAATCCTTAGCGTACGTCAAATTCGGATCAGGATGCAGTCCGCCAAAGTCGGGTAGTGGAATGGTGTGAACCACTGATGTTTCTGTAGCACCCAACCGATTCAGAAAGATCTCACGCACATAGGCGCCAGTCACACCATTCATAGAATCTATACGCATCCTTAATGGCTTTCCATTCGATTTTCCGCTGACAAAATCGTGCAATTTACCAAAGTCAAAGATCTCCTCCATGTGACGCACATAATTAGCTACAGAATCAATGACCTCCACAACAAAATGCTTGCCGCCAATGTCATAATTGCTGACGCCCACCTTTGAGATGTCAATCTGCAGGGCAGGCACCAGTTTGTAGGCTTTTATACCAGTCGAGAGCTGGTAAATGTTGTTGGTGAAGGCATCGGGTGCAGGACCTCCATTCTCACAGTTGAACTTGATGCCGAAATCGTTCTCCGGACCGCCAGGATTATGCGACGCAGTCAACACAATACCACCTAGAAGAAAATTCATTTTTATTTACGATAATTCTTACAGAATATTTCATATTTTCTTTTTAATTGAAAGAATTTATGTATATTCATTCAATTTATTCGAATTTTGTGTTTTTCCTTTATCGAAATGTTTTGGAAACACCGATTTGATGACCTTGAGACTGACAAGGCGGCAATTAATATTAGAGTATACATATATATGCAATATATTTAAATAGCTTTTTTTTTTTCACTGAGCAAATGCAAATCTTTATCAGCTTCTATTCTCTGGTGGATTACAAGCTACCTGTAAATGTTGATTAAGTAACCGCACCTACCCAACGCTTTGTTGTGACGTATTAGGCTGGAGACGGCTGGCGTCGAAAGTATTCCATTCTGACCCACCAGCAGCTTGGCCACTCCGTTGCCTGCACAGATTCGAACAATGAGTTCAGCTGCCTCCTTGCAGTAGTAACGTCCATCGCCTCCTACAACCAGAGTGGATCCCACCAGAGCTGCGCCGTTAGCATCCAGAATGCATTGCACAAAGTTTTCCGTATAGTTGGGCTGCGTGAACACTTTCACCTGTAAAATTTAAATTACACAAATTGCAATTGTACATTTTTGATTTTAACTGACTTTTTTACGCAGTCCGCTGGTGCCTGGCTTTTGGCCTTCGTACGTTGTTGTTAGCTTGGTTTCTACGCTTAGAGACATGCTTTGGTTGAGCTTTCCAGTTGCTGGTTAACTTCTGACTGCGGGCGAGCTAGTGGTAGTACCAACAATTTTGTCTCTGTGTTGAAAAAAAAATTACTCAGCTACTGATTCTGTGTCGTCGCACTGATAAACGTATGACGCGGCTGTAGTGATATAAAGAAGCGCTATCATGCTGACTTAGTACGAGTTTTAACTTAAAATTAATACACTTTGTTTGGTATTGTTAATATTGCATTTCGGTAAACTACATTGTATCGAATAAATAAGTATACATGTTCGGTTTATATAAATTTTATGAATTCCAAACTAGTTGCAAATGAAAACATGTAAGCTGGTCCATTGTGTGTAGGGTGACAATGTCATTCAAGGGCAACCACAGGTGCCGGAAGCACAATTCACCCCCACTGTCTAGTGGCGGTCTTAAATGTTATAATTAAAAAAAAAGGATATTGAAAAACTAAATACAATTTAATGTATTGAACAAATAATCTGTAAATAATAGTTAAGCATCGTTCGTAAACATAAATTTAGTATGTTATTGTTTTGTTGCCAAACAGCTGGTCCGCCAGAGTTGTGGCAGTGCAGATTATAGTCGTGCTATCGTTATCGATGCTTGAGGTATCAATGCTAAATGTATTCGTCCGAAGTTTGACAGCCGACAGTTTACACGTCACGAAGCAGCCACGAGAAAGTAGCCGCCTCTATCGTCAGTCTGAATTTAGCTTAAAACAGTTACCAGCAGCATTTAATTACATTATTTCATGTAAGTTGATTAGAAATTAGGTTTATATAGTTTTTAGTCACTGACAAGTGTTCATTTCCTATCTTTGCGTTGGTATACCAAATTACACAAACTATTGCATCTAACCTTCCACGTCAACAAAAAAGTGAAACGTTCCAAAAAACTTTTATATTGTAGCATGTTTAGAAAAACGATAGCGTTGTGCGCCCTATTCGCTGTGCTCAGCGTTTGTGTCTCCGAGGATGAGACCCGTGCCCGCTTGCTGGTCTCTAAGCAGATTCTCAACAAATATCTCGTCGAGAAGAGCGATTTGCTAGTGCGCTACACAATCTTCAATGTAGGTAATGGAGCGGCTACAAATGTGCAGCTAGTGGACAACGGCTTCCATCCCGATGCGTTTGAAGTGGTTGGTGGTCAGCCATCAGCTACTGTGGAACGTATTGCACCACAGACGAACTTTACTCATGTCCTGGTAGTGCGCCCCAAGGCTTTTGGTTATTTCAACTTCACAGCCGCCGAGGTGTCGTACAAGCCTGTCGAGGAAGCTGAGACGGTATTTTTTCTCAGCATATAGTTTCTCTAGCAATGTTGCCAACACGTTTTTATTTTCAGCTCCAATTGGCCATCAGCTCAGAACCTGGAGAGGGTGGCATTGTCAATCTGAATGAGTACAACAAGCGGTTTTCGTCCCATTTCTTCGATTGGGTGGCATTTGCTATTATGACGCTGCCTTCTTTGGCCATTCCACTCATCCTGTGGCACTCATCTAAGAGCAAATATGAGCGTCATGGCAAGAACAAGAAGCATTAAGCACTGACTAACATTTCAAAGAGATTAATCCACTGGAGTTCCGTACAATATTGCTGCTATAATTACAAATCGTCCCATGCCTCGTACATTTAACCACACACGAACATCTATATAGTTTATTTTTAAAATTGTAAAGCGTTAAATCGTTTTAGATTTGATACGAAATGAGAACTCAAAAAATCCATTGAAAGTTTAAGCTATTTTCTGTGTCATTAGACTGGTTTTCTAAATAAAACATGAAATCAAATTTTAACTACAAACGAAGTTTTAATAAAATTTATATTACAAGTACTAGTTCTATCAAACTAAAAAATTAGTGAATTACGATAACAAGTACTTGCGCCCAAAGATATCCGCCTTCTTATCAAACATCGCTGATTTGATGGGCGTGTTGATTTTGTAAAACGCGTTCATTGAATGCTTAATATAGGTATCGTATATTTCATTAAAGAAGTTCTTAATGCCCTCGTCATTTTTGTTGTCGTGCACAATGATGAAGCGTATCTGGGACGCTGTAATGAAAGCGGACACAAACCACTGATTAAAGCGATCTATACTTTTCAACTGCATATTGGCTGTCTTCCATTTGTGCTCATCTACCAAATCTAATGCAGCATGTGCTATGAACTGGTTGAGATGCCTGTGATCCTCTTTCTGTAATACAGTTTGTGTAAAACATAAAACTAGTACTTATGAATGTACTTACACGCTGTTCTTTGTTCAGTGTGCTAAACTCTTTTTCGAATATGGGATTGTCATTGTGTCCAACTATAACAAAATAGTAAGTGGACATTGTTAAAAATTTATTGAATTAAATAAATAAATTCGCAGATGCTAAGAAAATGTTTTTACAGCTGATTGACATGTTTGTTAAGTTTGGCAACTCTGTTATCGAGAGTTGCCTACTTGTTTTTCTGAAATGTAGATCTCACCATTAACATTTTAATATTATTTATTTATTTAATATTATTTATTTATGTTTATTTATTTATGTTTTTAAAAATATAAGTTTTGGCTTGAATAGTAAATTCAATTGTTGGAAATTTTATTTTGCTTACAGCGTACTAGCCTACTAGCACGCAAGAACAATTCTTACTTACTTCACGAATACAAATACAAAAGGTCAACAGCTGAGTGTCAAAACGTAATTTTTAGTTCTCAACCAAATTTTTTAGTCAATAATAAGTAGACGTATGATCGTATGCTGCGGATGTGTGTGGCAGCCGTAATGTGGAGCAGTGAGCTGCTCTAGAGCTTACATAATGGCGGCGACATTGCGTCTTAGTGGTGAAATGGTAAAAGTCATCATCCATTCCAACGTCCAGGCGCAGGCCATACAAAATGTTGGATTAATCCGAAGGCATTTGAATAGCGAACTTACTACGGCTCTTCGCCCATTCTATTTTGCTGTACATCCCGATTTATTTGGCAAGCATCCTGAGCAGCGGCAGACCAACGAGAATTCATTAAAGCTGCTCAGCGCCCATCTGGAGGCGCTCTACGAGCATAGCTATCGCAATGATGAAGCCAAAGTGTTGAAGTTTTACGTACGTGAGAGTGCGGCTGCTGACAAGCGTGATTTGTTTAGGTTGGTCCAGATACGCATGGATCGCAGCACGCGTGATCCCAAGAAATTCATACAAGATCTGCTCGAATCCTGCAATCTGTCGACGGATTACATAAAGACCGTCAAGTCCCCGAAGCCAGCGAAAACACAGGACAGCATAGTCAACAGACCCAGCTACGATTATCATTACAACACGGAGTTTTCCGACTTTGAAACACAGTTTCGTAATGTAATTATCTATATTTTCAGCTCTATAAAAGCTAATTCGCGTGTTTTATAGGAAACAACCAATACGCGTCCAGTTCTTTCCATTTGGCTTGAGGAAAATGCTGCTAAAGCCAGACAAAGGGCTAAGGAAACATCTGAAATGGAAGCGGAAATTGATAAGCTTAAAAACGTTCTCGTCGGAGATTTGCAACTGCGCGATGCTCGCTACGAATGTGGCTGGAATATAGAGCATTATAGAGGCTGTCTCAAATCCCTGCAGCGCCTCGCTCAGACCCATGAAGCTGTGTTGAAGACGTTGCGTAATCGCGTTGTGGTCTTTGCCCCGTTTACAGGCATCAGTTTAGAGGGTCATGTGATGCTTTTCACAGGTGATGTGCAAAACAACTGGATTGACTTTATCAAAAACATTCCACAACATGATGCCTATCTAAAAGTGGTGCCAGTTTATGAACAGACGCTATCCCAGGTTCTACGCAGCATACAGATAGGGCGTCGTAAATTTATGCCCAAGCAACAGGCACGTGGCTATGCTAACTATCTTATGAAAGTGACGACGTCCCTTAACGATTACTTAAGCAAGCAGTTGTACCCGAAACATTGGCCGCAAACATTGAAAGAGTTCATAATTGTTGTCGAATCTGAAGCGGGTCCATTGATGGTCAGTCCAACGGGTCAGTTCATCACACCCGCCACCTGTCCCGGCGCCATACTCGTGGACTTCATAAGCCAAAATATGAAGCTGGCACGTGAACGCATGACCAAATATGAAACGGACAAATACATCGAACAGCAGCTGATTGAGGAGTCAATTACTCGATTGAAATTGAAATCATTAACTAAGGACGATGCCGTAACTCCAGACAAAATGATAACTGCTCTCCGTGATCTACGTCACTGCCAGCCTCAGCATTTCGAGCACATTAAGCTACATATATCCCATTACTATTCGGTGCTTACCGATGGCAATGTCTGTGTGCCCTGGGATTTTATTCAAAAGTAGCAAACAGCGCTTGCTTAAGCACTCATGTGCCTTACGATTGACGACAATAAGCATAATAAATTAATTTTAATATAAGTTGCCCTAAAATATGCTGTTTATGTTTCTTGTTATGCATATAACAAGTAAAGAATGGAGAACTGGAGCTTAGTCTTAGTAATATGAATATATATGGTAACGCTTCAAATAAAGCCTCTAAGAATGTCTCATAACTATTCAATATTAACTTTGCCATTTATTAAAAAAATTTAAATATGAGTTGCTTTGATATATGTATATTTCTGTATAACCCTTTCTCTATTTCGTTACATCGCTGCAATCCTCGACCCTCCAGACGCATTCCCTGCGATAGTTTTCAAATTCCAAGCTGCTGCGTGTATAAACATGGCGCTCTTCGCCATCCCAATGCTTGGGATCACCTCCACAGAGCATCGAACTACTTGTAGCAGCATCATAGAGGGCTACGCCACCGCCAGCAAGCTGCACCACTTGCCACCAAAAGATCGAATCGCGACTGTAAATGTTCTTCGTTACGTAGTTTCCAGTAGAGTGGTTGCTTGGCTCCATTAGGATGTAACGATTGCGCCAATAGGAACTGTAGAAGGCAAATCTTAGTGTATTATTCGCGCCACCGTTTCCTCGTTGTACATAGTAGGATGCCTTCTTCGGGTCGCGTTCGTTGGTGCAGATCAAATAGGTTTGTGGGCACTCGTAGATGTAGGAATTGTGGTTTGTCATATTGTGCAGACAAATCTTCTGTGCAGTAAAGAGGATTTTCTCATCTGGAGGCAATTGCTCGTACACCTTTTCACGCAAGCTGCGATCGACTTCCTGATCGAAACTGGGCTGCTCCAGTAATTGACGCAGGTTATCCTGGACTGCAGCTTTTCCATCTACATTCAATTTCAGCTCCGTCCGCTGCAGCAGCTGAAGATTTGCTAAGGTCAATTGAGTGACGCTGCCACTAAAGTTGCCTAGACGTTGCACCACACTGAGAGCCGACTCCAGCGCCAATACCGGACTAAAAAGTGCTTCCAATATATCGCTTAAGTAGTCTAGGGTGCTTAGTGTGAGTCGTTCAAGCAGTGCGGCGACTTTTGGAAATCTCGCACTGCGACTATCTGTGTGAAAGGGAGCCGCGAGCAAATGAGCGCTGCGCCCAATAAACTCATCATATACCTGCACCAGTAGCGCTGACGGCACCTGTGACTGTTGTGTAAGCTGGTCATAGAAATCCAGTACCTTTACAGGATCATAGATTTGCCCCATCTGCTGCAGTTCTTGCCACAGGGCTTCGTAAATGGCTTGCTTTAGTTCCAACGTATGTGACTGACTTGCCAGCTGTAAGACAAAACGTCCGCGCTCCCAATCCCCATTGATTTCAGCGCGAATAATGTCCTTCAAGGTAAGTGGTTTAACCTCAGTAGTAGTCCGTGGTGTTCTGTTGCCTTCCACCACATCGATGTGCAGCACCACATCCAGCGTAGAAACTGATGTATTCAGCACAGTCAGCAGTCTGCTGTTGGTGCTGTTGGCATACAGGCTATATCCATCTATTAAAGTTAGCGCCAAGAGCAACACCAGATAGACGGCTATTGACATTGTTAACTACTTTTGCAATTGGGAGCACGTAGCTTCTTATAGCGTAGAAATGGGGGCGGTTTATGTCTGTGATTTGGTCGAATATTTGCATTGGGATTTCTGGGTAAGCGAGAGACTGATAAAACAAATAAGTTGTCATTTAATTGTTTGTAATGCAATAATCTACAATTCCCATCTACAATAAATTTTATTTCAATTTCAAAAGCAAACAATGACGCTATCTGGCGTCTAAATCTGTGTACTATAATCAATAGCCGAAAGACAAAAGATGGCGCCAGTGGTGGTAGAAATTATCGATATGTACACGCTTAGACAGCACAAGTCGATAATCGATCGGCGCTAACTGTTGTCGTCGATAGCTTATTTTGAAAAATTATTTATTAGACTTTTATCTTAGGCCAAATGGCAACAAAATTACTTATATTTAATATCACAAAGACACACTTAGATTAATCGGACTATGAAAAATGCAAGACTACATACATCAATGAGTCGCTTTCGCTATTAAATACTTATTGGTTATTTACAATTTTGTGGAGTTACGCGATTGAATTGAACGCCGTAAAATGCTTGACCGCAGCTCCCCACGTGTTGATGCAATTAGTGAAGCGCCTGTTTGAGTGCCACGTACAAAGGCCTGTGACCGCACCTCCTCCACATCTGTATTGCATTTATCCTCATCGTCTAGCTGCTTGGCTAGACAGGGAAAATCCCATATACTCTGACCACGTCCAAATTCCTCCCCATCGCTCAGAGTCTGTGGCAGTTGATGATGCAATGTCTCTGGCAGCAGTAGCGCCAGCAAGCCGCCCGCTATGCCCAGCAGACCCAAGATTATGAGCGGTAGCACAGGCGATATGTTGGCCAGATAAACTACAAAGGGAGCTATAATGCTAGCCACATAGCCCATGATGTGTATGAAAGCAACGCCCTGGGCACGCACCACAGTAGGAAGTATTTCAGCTGCATACTGCAGTCCAATATTATAGCTAATGTTCACAAAGAAACGGCCCATGATGGCTAACGTGGCGGCGTATACGCCTACTGGCGCCAGTGTAGCCAAAAGACTGAAGATGCCACTGGCTACCATCGAGCCGCAAGCCAACCAACGTCGTCCAAAGCGATCTAGCGTAATAGTGAGCAAAGTGTCTGCAGGTAGCTCCGTAAAACTGGCCACAGTAAATGTGAAGAAGATGTCGAGACCGAGAGAGCCGACATTACGCACATGGCCATCAAAGACCAACGATATGGCCATCCATATGACAATAAGCAGCAAAGTGGTGCGACGCAGACGAGGAGACTTGAAGAGATCCAGCACAGAGTAGCTGGTATTCTGTGCCTCTTCCTGATCCCGCATGCGTTGACAGCTGTCACTAAAGTTCTGATACGTTTGCTCCGAAACTTGACGACCATTGCGATGCTGCAGTTGCCGCAGTATGGAAATGGCCTTATCCACTTGGCCCTGTGAGACCAGCCAGCGTGCCGACTCTGGCACAATGAGAGGTGTAAACACCACTAATAACAGGGGAGCTGAGGTAATGATGGTCAACAGCTTCCAATCAGCTACAAAGTAGGCAATCCAGGGCAGCAAGCAGGCGGCGCCAGTAAAGAATATGGCAATGGACATGTTGGCAACAAATGTGCGGTATTTGGGTCCCACATACTCCAGCACTGCGAACATTGAAAGAAATTCAAACAGATATATATATATATATATATATATATATATATATATATATATATATATATATATATATATAAAAGACCCACAATTTCACTTACCTAGTATATACATCATGGTGAAGCAATTGTCGAATGCAAATCCCACAAAGAAACGCATTGTGGCAAATTGCCAAAAGTTTTTAACGAATGCAGTTGCCACGCCCGCAACCAATCCCATCAGATTACAACAAATAAGAGCTGGAATGCGACCAAAACGATCCGCTACCCAGCCAAAGAGCAAGCCACCCACAATAGCGCCCAGAAAGAAAATGGATTGAGCATAGGTGGGCAGCGCAGCATCATCGCAGACCCAATTCTGTTCGGTGGCCACCGTGTAGTAAGGTATTTCCGTAAAATTATAAGACCAACCATTGCGGCATTTCACACGTGGCCAATTTGGATCAGCCATAATTTTGCCCTGGGCCATGACTTCCGTATAGTTGACATCGTACATGTAGCAATTGTTGTACTCCCCATTCACCATGGGTATGGACAGGGCCAATCTGTGTGGGTAAATTGAATGAAAGGTGTTGCAATTGGGTTAGTCAAGTTTCGAGTAACGAATGTCGAGGGTCATGAACCCATCAGGGTCAGCGACGCATTGTCTGGCCGACAGCTGAGAGCTGAATAGCATAATTATCTTGTGATCTTGACAAAAATGTTTTGCGATTCAATCGTGTTGTTACTTCTATGTACATACATATGTATATAATTATAGTCAACCAAGATTGATTTAGCGGAAGAAAGATTGAGAGGGGGTTTCAAAGATTGTTTAATTAACAATCTTATGACGGATTTATTTATAGTATTAACCGAAGAGCTGCTATGCCTTTACTTTGTAGCAGATCTATCATTATTGATATGTTATAAAAGGTGTAGAGTTGGATATATATACATTTATATGTGCACAGATAGGTATATAGCACATAGATCTCTATATGCCTGAGATATAGTTGTATCTCACACTCTAATTAACAAACTGCTTGACAGTTTTTTTTTATTAAATCAACAATTCACTTAGCACCGTATTCATTTTTTATGTAAATACTTTGATTGTGTGGAAATTTAGAATTGAACATTTGCCTGATCTGAACTCAATTTGCGTACGATTTAAAATTGTGTTAGAACTTGTATATGACAGTTGACGACGGTAAAAATTGCCCATGGATTCACTTCTTTTAAACGCACTTTTTTTTATATAACTGGAAAGTTCTAAATTTGTTATTCTTAAAACTTCATTATTTATGTCATAGTTCTATGCTTATATAATATATATTTTTAAGTTTAGCTCTTCTTATATGCGTATGACTACAAAACTGGTCTTAAGATATAACGAATAATTGTTAATTGCCCATTATTTGTAGCTTTAAGTAAAATAGAGATATAGTTACACATATAACTTTAACTTAACGAATTTCTTTTGATTTAAAATTTGAAATACCTTTATGAGTGAAAGGGATTGTAGACATCCAAGATCCAAGATCAAGATTTGATTTGCCATTTTGTAAGCTGTGAGCGAGTATTAAGCAGTCGCATATATCTATTTTTCTACCTGAATTTGTTCACTCGAGTGTATTCCATTTTCGGTTTTTCAATAATATATCTCTCGTTGGGAAATTTGTAGCTCGTGTTTGGCATCGACACACAACATTAGTTAGTTAGTTGTTCATACTTTTTTGTTGTTGTGGCTGTCGCTGTTACCCCGATTATTTCACTTGTGCGTCAACTGCGCTGCAACTGCGCTGTCGCAACATGCGCTACTAATTATGGCCTGGCTTACCCGGCTGGTCTACCTGACTGGCTAGCTAGCTAGCTAGCTGGCTGACTGGCTGCTTATCTAACTACCTCTGCCACTGTTTGAATTTGCCTTCGCCTCGTGCATAGCTCCCCTCCATAATCTACCCATTAATAAGGTTCTTTTAGCTTTATTGACTAAAAACTAAAAATTCCAATCGTTTCGCAAGGTTAGACGACATTCTAAGCCGCAGCACTTAGACGAGTTAATGGCTTTGATCAGAACACTCAAATTTGTTTCGTTTTTGGTTCGAAATTTAGCTTAGTTCGATAATTATGGGGAGCTGCAAACAAGTTATTATAATTTGTTTATTGTGATAGTTGAGCTTAATATTTCATAGAAATCAGATTTATTTATAAGTTTATTAATTCTGATTCAGTCCATTTCAGGGCAAAAACCTGTTGAACTCAAAGTGTTGTCAATCAAAATTTTTTCAAGATACTGTTCGATCGATTGAGTTTTGTAAAAGTTTTGCGGAACAGCAATGATTAGAAAACAAATAAATAAATAACTTCCGGACGTATGGCAATGGTTCTAAGAGCTGAGTTATATAAAAAATAATTTTGAAAATATTCAAAATTATTTCTGCTGAAATGCTGCTTAGAAAAACTTAGAACTTCTTAACTTTATATTCTAAACATTTCTATTCCTTAAAAGCTCTAAAAAATAGGGTTTTTAATGAACTCATGAATATCGGTTTCAGGAATATTTCGATCACTATTCAAGATAAAGTTGCTATTTTACTTTTCCATTCAGTAGCAAAGATCATATTATTTTTAAATATATATATATATTGTCTTCGACTTCTTACATGGACAAAATGTTCTATTTAAATGTTAAACAAGCAGGAATTTTAAAGCAAGCCCGAATCTAAAATCATATTAAGTCTTAGTTGCTATCTACTTATATTCAAGGGCGTAGTCTTTGAACTGTGTTCAATCTGTTACGAGAGATCACGTATTTAAATTGTTCAGCCATGCCATATGTCTACTTCTAAAGGCTTCTTTAAAAATTAAGCAATTAACATGACAATAAACCATGAATAAAATTGCCAGAATCAGCATAAATATAACATTAAAATTGTGTGCATTGGAGCCAAATTGCAAAAACAACATTCCAACTAGACTAGAAGTGCATGGAGGTTTAGTAGCAGCTATTAAATGTCTTAAGCCAACCAGTTAGCCAGCTGTGTCTAAAGCCAAGTAAAACTTGGCCCAGCCAGCTGCAATTGGCTAAAAATACTTTCGGAAATAATTCACAGTCAGAGTACGAAAAGTTTTAATATTACTAAAGCTCACCTGGCCTCCACATCGAGTGCATCCAACTCGGGCACATGGCACCAATGCTGCTCCGGTATGAGGGTCATGAAAATTTGGGAGAAGTAAACAAAGGCCACAAAGAATGAGAAGGGAATCATGCATAGGAAAAGGATCTTTTGATATCTTCCAAATTCGCCAATCAATGGCAGCAGATCATCAAAATCCATGGTGGGCCTCGCGGCTGCTGCCTGTTCCTTGCTTTTCTTATCCGACAAATCTAATTGAAGCTCCTTGTTGTTGCCACCGCTGCGACGCCGCGGCTGATTATCCGCACCACCTCCTCCAGCTTCATGTGGCTGCTCTTCGCAATTATATGCTTCATTGATAAAGTATGCTTGCTTCGCCTGGCCTTCCATGTTCGCTGACCTTCGCCGGTAACTGTGTCACTTGCCTATGCTTGTAATTTGAAAATTGTAAGCACTGAGCTCTACGTTTACGTTACGATAAAAAATGCACAGAAAAAGGCGCAATCCGTTCCAAAACTATAAAACTAAAGACACGAACTCGAGAGCGCACGCGCGCGTTTCCGTTAATGTTCTGCAACTGAACTGAGCACGCGCACCGGATGGCGTTTTTATATATCAGACACGATTCAAGCCGAGCTACATTAGCTTCGTTGGCTTCACCTGTCGGCAAGAACAACAGCCAAGAGAATTGGCAATGCCCCGGTAGCGAAAGTTGAACAGCTGTTCTCGCAGTCCAGCTGCTAAACCGGTCTCTTAAAGCCTAAGCATTATATGATCTTGATCAGCTGGTTGCCATTATTTTGATAATACATATATACTATATATAGATATCGACATATTTATAACGAAACGCTCCCCCAGCTGGGCTTGAATCATCCATAAACAATGCCATCAACTCTTCTCAATTAACATAAGCGAAGACCAACAATCTCCAAAGCGTCACAATGCCCATTCATATTTAAGATTGGGGGATTAACCCCCAATCGTCGCAGCTGGCATAGTCTGGATTGACTCACGCGCAGCATCCACTCAAAATACCGCCAAAAACCACCTACTTGATATTCACATTTGTTGTTTTTTGATAAATAAATACAAAGATTGTGCGCCTGCCCCCAAGCCTCAGAATTGTGTTGCTCGAATCTTTCAAATATTTTGCATAATTAGTGATATCTTCTAACTGTGATTTCTGCAACTTATAATGCGACTCCTTCAAAACATGTTTTCACATACAAAGAGCTTGTTACCGGTGGGCTCAGAGATGCGTACAATGTTCATGTGAACAGGTGAGTTAAGGCCGAAGTTCTCGACTGTAATGATAAGGGAATGTCAGCCTATTCATCAGCTATTTTATCCGTTTACTTATTACCTCTCCTAACCGATTATCAAATTATTTATTTACTATTCTATTCATACATTTATATATTTGCTGAAAATTAATGTGCCCAAGGTATCTAATAGTCGCGCACTATTCAATTGACTTGCTGTGTACACGCATTTAATGTTTTAATTAGCACCGTTTGCATCGCAGCTCATGGACAATAACTTTTAGATTGTGCTGCGATCTCGTTCTCATAGCCATACGCACTTGAACAGATTCGAGTTTAAACTTGAGATTTAAATGGCGAAACAACTTGCGAGATACCAGATTTGATATTTGAGTTTCGAGATACAGATATAAATAATTTGATCTGTCTAATTGGCTTCGGCGATAGGTTCGCTTTTGTTTGAAATGCCATTTGATATTGATATATACATATAGTATATATTATTAATTATTATTATATTATTATAAATGTTTTTTATGTATTTATTAATTAAGGATTGCGTATGAGCTGAACGTAGGGCGAGGCACTCACTTGAAAGGCTCGGAATCGGGACGATATAGGATCAGCAACAACGTTTGACGAATACTAGGTCAGCTGCCACAGCTGCTCTCCAGGCCAGGCCAAAACTTATCATTAGTCAGTTCATATATATTATGTATATTATAAATTATATATAAAATATACTCTTATTTCACCACATCGCGTTAATATTCAACTAATTAGTGTTTAATTAATACATATACGACCTCTTAAACAAACCATACGCAGAAGCATTTTGTATTAAAATGTATAATTTATATACATATATATTTTTTTATAGGATTTAAAATATAAAATATATATATTTTTTAAATTTTATATAAATACATTACTTATTATAATTGGACGTGTTATTTATCTTATATTATTCTTATCTTATCTTATCTTATTCGGTCTGTCTTATGTTATTCGTTAACACTGTATGAAGTTTCTTCAAATTTGTATACCCTGATCCCATTGAAAATGGGAAGTCAGGGTATAATGGTTTTGTGAAAATGTATGTATGTGTGTCCGTCTGTGGGAATGCGTCGATCTCAGCATCTATAAGAGCTAGAGACTTAAAATTCCGTGGATATTTAAATATTCGATAACTATTCGCATTTAATTGTTATCGAATAAAATCAGGATTGAAATGCAGTTAATAAATTATATCTCGGACGTCTTAAGAGCTAGAGCCTCCAAATTATGTATATAATTTTATGTATATTTTATACAATTCTGATTTTTGTTGGATTTTGGATACTTCCAAATTTTCCCAAATTCTTAAAATTTAAGTTAAGTTGGAACTAAAAACATTATGTGAAAAACATTAAACATTATGTGAATGCGTTTGCATCTCAACCAAGCCAATAGGATATGTAGATCATATGCTGAAAATTTCATTAAAATCCCTTAAGTAAAACAGAAGTTATTAAACAAAACGTTTGGCCAATTTGCAAAAGCACATGTCAGCAGCGCCACGCGCACGCATTTTGGGTGTATTCTTTTCTATTCCAAGAATCGAAATTGCGATCGAATACTGCTTAAATTCTCAGCAGCTACTCAACTTCAAATTTCCAACTCTCCTTGCAAAAAATGCAGTGGTTGCGTTGGTAGAGGTGACGCTCATATGCAGGTGCTAGACGCAGGGCTCAAGGCCGGTGGGGATGAATTATTCTTTATTGCTTTATTTATTTTTTTAAATTATGAAGTGGCGGTGTTGTTAGAATTGGTGCACGTTGCGCAAACAATCCGGGTTCTCGAATCCTGGTCTCGTAATGTCGTTTTTTATTTATTAATTTTTTTTTTTTTTTTGAATACTCGATACAAACTACGGAAAATATTTATAAACGCAAATAGGACTGGGATCAGGGTATCTCCTAATCGGGCACCCCGACTAGAGCTTTCTTACTTGTTTTAATTACGGTAGAGCTGATTCACGTTGCTTTTGTTAATGCCGCTTTTTATTTGTTTTTTATAGTAGCTATTGAAAACATTAAAAAACGCACATAGAACTGGGATTAGGGTGTCTACTAGTCGGGCACACCGACTTGAGCTTTCTGACTCGTTTTTATTACTTTCAATTTTATTCTGTATATGTATGTGTGTATAAGAGTTATAAATTAGTTAAATAGTTGCTTTAACCGTTTCATTCAGTGCAAATTTATTTGAAGTGCAAAGAAGTAAGTACATAATGATATATATGAATGTATCCATCTACCTGTATAGACGTGTTAATTAATAGAATATTTGAGGTGGAATAATTAGATATTATATGTTATCTATAAACAAAGCCTAAGGAAAATTTTATTTGTGAATGGAAATAAATGAAGTATTTTTTATCAATTATTTATTCTAATTTGTTTCACTCGATTCAGAAATATTAACGCATTCTGAGGTTTGAGACTTAGCTTTAATTTGGACAAGGCTCTAATTAGTGCAGCGACATTAACCAATTTTTATTTTATTTGCTCAACTTATTTGATCTAATGAAAAGAAAAATAAAAATTCTATTAAAAAATTGTTCAGTTCATTTGCTCTTGACCCAAACAAAATGCTACGGTTTCAACAGAAACAAAGGACAGACAAAGCTCCTTTCAAGGAAATTCCCAATTATTGGTTTATTATACTACACGCGCCAATTATCAACTCATCATAACTAGAAATAGCCACAATCAGTATTCCATTGTAAATCAAAGATTAGAAATATGCGATTGCTCAAGATATATGATGCAGTCAACTCGTATTATGGCTATAAAAGACTGTCCACTTGGCCAAGTTTCTTCAGTTCTTTTTAACATGAATTTCACATGTGCTTTGATTCTGCTTTTGGCTGCCGTTGTCAGCGCCAATGAAGTGGACTGGAAATCCGTGAAGTCATTGGACATTGAGCCCAATGTGCCCATGACTCGTCGTCACGATTCACCAGCTGGACGCATCACAAAGGGTCAGAATGCTGCACGCAATCAGTTCCCCTACCAGGCGGGTCTCCTGCTCTACGTTAATGGTGGCGCTGCGTGGTGCGGAGGCACTGTGATCAGCAATCGCCATATTATTACCGCTGCTCACTGTACAGATTCGCTAACCACCGGTGTGGATGTCTACCTGGGTGCTTGGGATCGTACCAACAGCAAGGAGGTGGGACAGCAGATAATCTTCGTAGAGACCAAATACGTGATTGTTCATGAGAACTGGCAATCAGATACAATTACCAATGATATTTCCATCATCAAGCTGCCCGTGGAAATCGAGTTCAACGAATACATTCAGCCAGCCAAGCTGCCCGTCAAGAGTGGCCAGTACAGCACATATGCTGGCGAACAGGCTGTCGCCTCCGGCTGGGGCAAGACTACAGATCGTAAGTTCTACATAGGATTACTTTCGAGTACTCTACTAATTAAGTTATACTTTTTGTAGAGGCAACCGCTGTCACCGACATCCTGCAGTATATTACGGTGCCCATCATGAACAACTCGGGCTGTTCACCTTGGTTTGTTGGTGCCGTGAGCGCAACGAACATTTGCATCAAGACTACTGGCGGCACCTCCACCTGCAACGGCGACTCCGGCGGTCCTTTGGTCTTGGCTGATGGTAGCAACACCTTGATTGGTGCCACTTCCTTTGGCATTGCTCTTGGTTGCGAGGTTGGCTGGCCAGGCGTCTTCACACGCATTACCTCCTACCTGGACTGGATCGAAGCTAACTCGGGTGTGGTTAACAAGGGCAACTAAATACCGATTTAGGCTTTGAATAAAGTCATTATACGTCTAATAATCCAAAGAAAACGATTTTAATTTAAGTCAGCTATCGGAGATAAAAAAGGGAAAAAAAGTAACATTAAAAACAAGTAAGAGTACTTTAGTCGGTACTGATTGACTTGCAGATACCCTGAAGCTTGAGCTCTGCAGATTGCGCAGATTTGCGTATGAGCTATACTTAAGTAACCTAATTGTAGAATATCTTTTCTTCCAGATGGATTTTCCTAATAAATTTTCAGACCATAATAATGCTACTCAGATGTTTTTAATTTCCAAAGAACTAGTCTCTGGTATTTGAACCACATTTGTTGCAAATAAAGTCATACTGTGTAAGGGATATACGAGTATATAATACAATTTCAAGTCTCTAGCTTTTTTGGTTTTCCAGGTCGATGCATTCACACAGGCGAGCATAACAGGCTCTGATTAAGAGTATATACGGCATGTCGTTTGCCACGTCTCCTTCTATATATATACATTTTCACAAAACCATTTTCAATGGATTCGGAGTTTGATTATTTTGTGTGCACTTTAAGATTTGTTTCTCTATACAGATATATTTACTATACATATAACCATTGAGATAATTATTAAGTAATTAAAAAACTATCTGTAATGGAATATTATAGTAAATGCAGCTGCTTTATATAGCGATAAATTGTATTTATCTTATATTTTTATAGCCAATGTGGAATTTATGGATCAGTAGAAATTTCCGCAATCATCGTAAATCAGTTCTTTCGAGCCTGATAAGCAATATTATAAGAACGGTTAGCTAATTGTTTAGCTTTTCTGTGGCTATAAAAGATTAGGCCCACTGGCCGTGTGGGTTCAGTTGATAAATATGAAAAACGCTCACGAATTGGTGCTGCTCCTATCCGTCGTAATCGGCACCACAGCCGTGGACTGGCAGTCCCTCAAAGCGGTAGACATTGATCCCAAATTGCCAATGACTCATCGCCATAATGCGCCCGCAGGTCGCATAACCAAGGGCCAACCTGCTGGCAGAAATCAGTTTCCTTACCAGGTGGGACTCATGCTGTACATAACAGGCGGCGCAGCTTGGTGTGGCGGTACTTTGATTAGTAATCGGCATGTGATCACGGCGGCTCACTGCACGGACAGTTTGACCACTGGTGTGGACGTCTATTTGGGCGCCTGGGATCGCACCAATAGGTCGGAGGAAGGTCAGCAAATCATCTTTGTGGCAACCAAATACGTGACTGTGCATGAGGAATGGGATTTAGATAACCTAACCAACGATATATCCGTTATTATGCTGCCAGCACCAATCGAGTTCAATGAGTACATTCAAGCCGCCAAGCTGCCCGTCAAACAGGAGTCGTACAACCTTTATGCAGGCGAGCAGGCGATTGCATCCGGCTGGGGCAAGATCAGTGATAGTAAGGATCCAAATTGTATTGTTAACATTAACGTCACTAAATGGGAAACTCGTTTTTGCAGGTGCAACTGGTGCCACCGATATTTTGCAGTACATTAATGTGCCCATCATGACAAATTCGGGTTGCTCGCCTTGGTATGGAGGTATTTTGACAAATAACGTCATCTGTATCAAGACCACCGGCGGCATCTCCACCTGCAACGGTGACTCTGGTGGTCCTTTGGTCTTGGCTGATGGCAGCAATACCTTAATAGGTGCCACCTCCTTCGGTATTGTTTTTGGCTGTGAGCTGGGCTGGCCAGGTGTGTTCACGCGGATCACGTCGTATTTAGATTGGATCGAGAATAACACTGGAGTGGTTAATAATGGTTATAAAGGACGGTTTGCTTAAAATAAGGATTTATTTTGTTGAACGCTTGGCAGCTACAAGAAATAAAAGTCGTATTCGGATTTCGGTTTGGAATGTGGTCGTAGGCTACTATTTTCGGACGCATCCTCATCGGACAGTGGATGATGGATGTCCAGTTCGTCGGGTATGTCATCTGCCAAGTGATGATTGCGCTTGTGTTGCTGCTTTGAATATTTCTTGATATACTGATCAAAGAAAATGGCCTCAGTGGTGTCTTGGTGCGAGTGGACGCCTGTCTCATCGCTAATCCAGTCCAGGTAAGAGGCCACCTTGGTGAAGGCAGCCGGATAGCCGCGATCGCAACCATATATACTGCCAAATGAGGTGATGCCAACCAGGACACGTTTCTTTGAGTGGCGACGCTGTAGAACAAGCGGTCCACCCGAATCGCCATTGCAAGTCGACTTGGCATTGCGTCCACTGGTGCAGATGTTTGTCCCACGAAAGGACAACGGAAAGTTTCGTTTACATGTCCGATCATCGACTATCTGCAGTTGGACATAGCGCAGTACATTGCTAATGGCATGCACACCTGTAGCATAACGGCCCCAGCCAGATGCAATTCCCAATTTGTTTTTGAAGCTGCGATACTCGTAATGCCGCTTGGGCAACTGAATGGGATGGATGCGCTCTGACAAAACAACAAAGATAAGTTGCGGAAGCAAAGATAAACTATGCATTAGCTTACCATTAAAGCCGACTGCATGTGGCAGACGCACTAGCGCAATATCATCTTTTAAGCGTTTGGGATTCCAGGTGGGATATATGTGAAAATTACTGCTCGGCACCATAAGACGCACCTGTCCCGATTCCTTGGCATTCTTAATTTCATTTGCGCCCAGAAAAACTAACGCGCGTTTAGCCCTGCAAAGAGAGAAAGGGTAGAAAGGGTATTTGCTTAGTTAAACGTAAACTTGACTGTCAATTATGCTATGGCCTACATGTCCACACAGTGTGCAGCTGTTAGCACATGTTGCTCCGAAATAAGCGAGCCGCCGCACCAATAGAGACCCTTGGGACGCTGCAGTAGCATTCCCACTTGATAGGGAAAACAATGTGGATTTCCCACATCACCGCCAAAGATGCGATCCATGGCCATTGCACCCTCTGGCAGCATGCTATCCAGCAATGGTGTTGTTTCCAAATTCAACACCAGTGGCTCTGGTTCCGCTGATGTGTCCGCAGAAGCTGTTGAGCTGTCGCTGATGCGGCTATCGTCATTGCTAGCGCTCATTTCCGCATCCAGTTCGGCGGACAGGGAGATGGTTGATGGCTTTTGCGACAGGGGCATGCCAAACGGGCCCGGATACATGGATACTAAGTACATGGGCTTCACCTGTTGCCAGTCGAGTGCAACAGCCACATGGCTGCAGCAGCACCAGGTCATCCAGGTGAGCAGCAACAGCAACAGCCGTCGTGCTGTCAATGTCGTAATAATTGAAACACTTGCCGACTGTAAAACCATTTGCGTTGCTTTTTCTTGCTGCTCACTGCTGGCGCACGCATTTAATATTTAATTTGAACTTAATTAAGCTGCACACATGCACACATGCATAAAGATACATGCACAAACAGTCTGTTTCCTCTTTTAACTGCGTTTGAAATTGTTTCCCGTTTGGTTTTTGAAAAGCCGTTACGGGGGGGGGGGGGGGGGCGAGTAAATGTTTGCTGCCGTGATACTTTCCTCAGTCTTCGACTCTTGTTGTCGGTCAGCGTCTCGCTTACAACTGTGGTGGCGCGCGCATTTTGCAAGCATTTTTATAAACTCTTTTCTTTTCCACAATTTCATTGCGGGCTTACTTTAATTATTTCGTCTACTTTGCTGCATTAATTTCGACGTCGACCGCAGCAGAAACGGCAACAGCGGCGTCGTCGTCAATTGCATTCATTTCAATATACTATTTTTGCATTTGCGCTCTCTTTGCACTCTTTTGCCCCCACTTGCACTCTCTTGGTCACTGCACCTATCTCTCTAGCACAAGCCTTCTTTCTCTTTCTGTGTTGCGACCTGTGTGTTACGCTTGCGCTTTTATTATGTTTTGTTGTATTTCTTTTGACATTTGTCATTCGCCATTTGGCGCCGACTTCTGCTTTAGTTTGTCATGTTGTGCGTGCGCAAGCAAAATCTGGGCAAACATCGTCGACGGCAATATCTGCCTGCTGCCCACTTTTTTCTGTCCGTTGTGTTGTTGTTATTACCATTAACGGTTTGAAAAGTATATATAGCTGTAACTCTAGTTACTTATCCTCTACTTGCTTTGGCGCTATTACATCACGTGTGTGTGTGTGTGTGTGTATGCTTATGTGTATGTGTATGTGTGTGCACGTGTGTGTGTGTAGGCTGTGCAATGCGCAGCATGCGGCAAATGCTTTCATTCAGAAATATGCCGTGTGCAGTTGTTTTTGTTGACGGCAAATGGTAAATGAAACAAAAAACATTATACGATACATTTGTCTTTCGCATTGTTTGGCTCTGCTATGCCCCGATGTCTACCCTCTGCATACCACATAAGCACCGATTACATGTATATTTTGGTCCACACGGTGGGCTGTATTTTGTTCGCTTACCTGCAATGTAATCACACTTATAACTTGTAGATTTTACGGTATGTGCTGCCCACTGTGTCTTCAAATCTGTTATTTTGCTTTTTTCTTCTTTACTTAAGCCAAGGTTATTGCCAGGGCACAACGGAGTTATAGGCAAATTAACAGCATTGTTTGCAGTTGTTTGCATGCGAATATACAAAGCTGAAGAATTTTCGACAGCAGGAAATCTTGACTGCTAAGTTGCTGCATATATTTATAATTAAATTAATTCGTTGAAATAACTTTAATTTGGTGTTGAAAGTATTTCTTGGTTTGTTGGTTGGCATTATTGTTTTTGTCGATTTAGGAAATGCGGCTCACTTTGCCTGCCTAGCGAAGCAAATAAATCAAATCGTCTCGCGATTGGTGATATGTTCAAATGTAATGAGGCTAGCAACAACAAAATACAATCAGCGGCGGCTGCACTAGAGCAACTATAACAATAGTAGCACTACCAACACCTCCACCAACAACAACATAAATTAAAGTAGCGGCGTCGATTATGCAAATCTTTTTCACCACTCGTTTTGGCAGACCTTTTTTTGTTGCGGCTAACGCTAGCTTACTGTACTCTTTACTTACTATATACTCTTTCGGTACACTGTCATAAGCTTATAACAAGACATTTTCTGACTGGCTGAAATAAGTAAATGAGTAAATCTATTTTTCTGTATAACTTTTGGTTTGTAGACGAATATTAGTTACATTATTATTGATTTTTGCACTATTCATTATTTATTATTAATTAAAAATGATTATTATATAGCATTATTCTAGTCTCTTTAATACAAAGAGCATTGTCTATTCGAAGTGTTGTATGAAAGTTTTATTTGCTTTTATTGATTTGTTTCTTACACTTCGTTTTGAATTTCGTGCGTCGATATTTAATGCATAATCGGAATTATGATTACCGCTCTTGCATGTCATATATATATATATGTATATGTGTATGAATGTACATATGTATTCTGAATAATAATTCATTTTATTGCACTTGCTAATGCATTTGCCGTTATTTAATTTAGCACCGCGATCGAACTATTTATCATTTGGATAATGATGATTACAACTTTTTTTCTTTACACTTTATGACCGTTTAAATTAAATTAATTTTTGTTTATTTGTTGTCTTTGCGGCAGTGAAAAACTCAGTTAAACAATGTACATGTAGTTCCTTGTTGAACAACAAAAAATTTTAACAAAACTAGTAATACATTTAAAATTTACAATTCATTGAAAGGATTTCGAACTGTAGTCAAGCTTAAATTTAAGTAAACTATACATAAACAATGAACGTAACATCTACAAATTAAATAAAAATCTTATGTTTATCTTATCTAAATTGATAATCAGTACAATTGACCAGGCAATAAGAAGTCCGATGATTGCAATTGGACACATAGTCAAGAAAGATTGCAATTGATTGGGTAAGTCTTCTATCTTGACCAGCTTCTTTTCGATTAGTTTACAAGAATTCTCCTCCGCCTTGCTTGCTCCCGTCTAGCTGGCTCGAATTCTGGCATCGAGCAGCCATCTACTTTATATACTCGACTGCTGGCGAGAAGGAGATATCATTTACTGCGTCTGCTATCTACTTGAATTTTGGTAATCAGGAGGAAACATCTACTCCATCTGTCATCTTTGTCCAATCTCTTAATATACTTATCACTTGTTATTGTAATTGTTGCCTGCTCAATTCTCCTCGTCATGCGGTCAACGAAGCTTCTTCTCAGCGACTAACCTAACAACTGCTTCTCCTATTTATTCAAATGCCGGCGTATGTCTCGCCAGATGCATGTCATCCATGAATGAACTGACTGTAGATCTGATTTCCATGCTGCTGCTAGTTGGTACATCGTCCGCAGAATCAAACATGGCGCTATCCAAACTTTTGTTGAGCCGATCGTGGAATTCGGTCATTGAGATCTTTTTAAGTGCGAAACGCTTGCCAAACGTTTTTTTCACCTTCAAGCGACGTTTCTTGATCAGATTCTTGTTTTTGGTGAGGCCATCGTTGAAAGAGATGGCCCGTCGCAGCTTGCGAGAACCAAATTTAACAACGCGCACTTGACTGGTGATGGCGCACTCCTCGCTATCGTCCTCCACATCGGCTGCATTTTCATCGCTGGGCTCTTCGAATATCGTTTCTAGACTAGTAGGCGTAAATTTCTTCATGCGCTTGTTCGTGTAGATTTTCTCAATGCTTCGCAGCATCTGTTCATTAGTGTGCAGCTCCCTACGTTTCTTCTTAACTTCTGTACGCATAATGGTGCTGCACACACGATTAAAGTTGTCTTTGGAGACGCGAGCTGGCATTCGTCGTCGGGAAACACCGCCGCGACGACCATTGCGATAACTGCTGCTGTAGCTATCGCTTTCATCGTTGTCCTCGCAGCGACTTAGCTGTGAATCCACCTCATCTGATTGGTCGGTGGCAGGGCTTTCCGAGTCCAGCATATCATCGGTTGCATTTGTGGGCGCCATTGGTTTTTGATTCCAAGTAAACTTGGATGTTGGCGCAGAGCTAAAGAAGCATATTTTGGTCTCATTAGGTTTGGCTCTGCTTTTGCCTCTTTCTCTTTGGTAGACTTACCGATTCTCTGTTAAGACAACCTCTTGTGGCTGAAAACTAATCGTTGCAAATTTGTGCACAATATTTTCCATTATTAAATCTATAACATGCTGTTAAATTTCAAAATTTATTTTATTTTTTTTATCGCTTTGTTTTGTTATTTACTTTTTCTTTTCTGTCTCTTGACGTAGAAGAGGAAGTGGAAAATGAAGCAATGTTAGAAGCAGTATTATTTAACATAACAACGAATAGGTGATTTACATTTAATTTAATGTTATTTGCAAAATGCAATTGTATTTGAGATATTTTACTTATGTTTGCAATTCAACAAATTTTATTTTATTGTTTTTTGAGGATATTTTGTTCAAATATATTTTTTGCTGCGGGCGTAGCTTGTTTGCAGCAGTGTTTCACTGCTATTAACATGACTTATTTATTTTACGCATGCTTATCGATGAATATCGATTAATTTAAAAGTGTCTCAATATACAACTTACGCGGATCACCAATAGATGGCGTCTTATTATGACCGGAAATTTTTGAATAATATACGTTGCTAAAATACCATTTATGAAATAGATTGAAAATGAATTTAATATTAAGCAGCACGAGCATTGAATTATGTAAGTATTACTGAATACAATAAAAGACGCACGATACTTCTTGATTTTATATAACTTTGCAAAGTAATAAACTGAGACCATTGTATGTTATTTGAATATAGGTAATAGAATAAGATCTTGCAGAAAGGCAAAAATGTGTTATAGACTTGCGAAGCTTGATAAGCGCTCAATGCGATGGCAATTCAGAAATCTTGTTATCTATATTTGTTCTTGAACGTGAAAATAAATTAAAATATATAGTCAATTTTAATAAGTACCTGATACCTGTTGAAGTACAATAGATATGATACCAAAATCATATAAAATACGCTCCCATGCGGTTGCAATGCATCAATCGTGTGTTGAACATGAAGGCTTTCATTGTACTCGCTTTGGCTATCGCTGCCGTCTGCACGGAAGCAGTGGAACAGGTCCATCCCAAGGATCTGCCCAGGTCTGCCAAGATTGAGGGTCGCATCACCAATGGTTACCCCGCATACGAGGGCAAGGCACCCTATACCGTTGGCTTGAGCTTCAATGGCTGGTGGTGCGGTGGTTCCATCATTGCTCACGACTGGGTGCTGACAGCTGCTCACTGCACCAACGGTGCCAGTTCTGTGACCATCTACTATGGTGCCACCTGGCGCACCAACGCCCAGTTCACCCACACCGTCGGCAGTGGAGAGTTCAGACAGAACCACAACTGGCCCCACAACAACGGTAATGACATCGCTCTGATCCACACTCCTCATGTCGATTTCTGGTCAATGGTCAACAAGGTGGAGCTGCCCAGCTTTAATGATCGCTACAACATGTACGATGGCTGGTGGGCTGTTGCCTGCGGCTGGGGCATTACGTCCGATGGGGGCTCCCAACCCGACTGGCTCCAGTGCGTCGATCTGCAGATCATTAGCAACAACCAGTGCTCCCAGACTTATGGTCACCAACCCGATGGCATTCTGTGCGTCGCCACACCCGGCGGCAAGTCTACCTGCAGCGGTGACTCTGGCGGCCCATTGGTGCTCCACGACGGTGGCCGTTTGGTGGGCGTTACTTCCTGGGTTGCGGGTAATGGCTGCACTGCTGGTCTGCCATCTGGCTTCACTCGTGTCACCCAACAATTGGACTGGATCCGTGACAACTCTGGCGTTGCCTACTATTAAATTGATAAATAGAAAATAAAAATAGCATGAAAGCAACGTGGTCGTTTAGTTACTCACTGGGGAAACAAGATAAGAATTGTGAGGTGCGGCAGTTCACCTGGTCTAAATCGGAAATTTGAGTCTAGACGGACATACAGATTGATTATCGGGAGTCACTCACTCACTATTTTTATGAATGAGTTGAGCCACATGCTCGATGTGAGCAATAGTCAACATTTCAGTGGGGGTATATCCTATTGCGAATGCCGAATTTCGATGGTGTTATGGCATATCGCGAATATGTAGATCAAAATATTGATAGTCGGATTAAAAAGCAATTTCCGTCAATTGAGATTAGATACTAGACTCAGGAAAATTGAACTCTTAAGTGGGATTATATTATACCAACACGTGCAGACGTACAAATAAGCGAGCAAACTTCTTACTCCTTATGACTTTAACTGATCAATACATCAGTGCTAGCACCTTGTGGTGCTACACTGAGTGAAAATTTCAAAATGTTTATAATTAAGTCAATAACAGTAAACTTCCCAACTATCGCTACCATTGGGTCTTCTTTAAACGTTGAGTATTTATTATATGAAAGTATTCCATTTAGTAGGATATGCCAGTGTTGTCCCGAATCCAGTCCAGGTAGCCAGTGACACGAGTGAAGCCAGCGGGCTGGCCGGCTGTGCAGCCCTCCCAATGACCGAAAGATGTGATACCCACAATTCGGTTGCCGTCGTGCGTAACCAGTGGCCCTCCGGAGTCTCCGCTGCAGGTGGACTTGCCACCAGAGGTGTTAATACAGATGGTGTTGTCGATCACATAGCCACCGCCATAAACGTTGCGGCACTCATCGTTGCTGATGATCTGGACATCCACGCAGTTCAGATAGTTGTGCATGCCGCTCTCGTTGGAAGTATGTCCCCAGCCAGAGGCCACAGCCCACCAGCCATTGTAGTTGTTGTAGCGATCATTGTAGCTGGGCAGTTCCACTTTGTTGACCAAGCTCCAGAAATCGACATGGGGTGTACGGATAAGGGCAATGTCATTGTTTAGCTGATCATTGTAGTGGGGATGACGGATCTGGTCGTTGCCGCTGACCCAGTGAGTGAACTGAGCCTCATGCCGGAAGCTGGCACCATAGTAGATGGTCACGCCAGAGCCATCTTTGATGCAGTGGCCTGCAGTCAGGACCCAGGTGTTGCCAATGATTGAACCACCGCACCACCAGCCACCGTTGAAGCTCAGGCCAACAATATAGGGTACCTTACCCTCAAATGCGGGATAGCCATTGGTAATACGTCCTTCGATGCTGCCCTGCTTGGGCATGTCCATCACCCGCAATGGTTTCTTCACCCCGGTGGGCACGGCGTTGGCTGCTGCTACAGCAAATATCAAGAATACGAACAACTTCATTCTCCAATGTTTACTCTGGCCTTAGCAAAGATTCCGAATGCTTTTATACACATTAGACGAAGTCTTATCGAAGGCTGTTTAAAGTCTTGTTATTCCAATCGAGGCTCATAAATTTTATTCGGACCTAATCCTTGTCTGGAACTGATAAGTAAAGCTCTCTACATACACGGACTCTTTAATATATAAATAACAATATACATATTGAATTATTCTAGATTGTGGAAATTTATTTCGTTCCAACTTGCTTAATATACGCTGTAGTTAAAGCGAGAATTGCCTTTAATTGGAGGTTTCAAATTCATTTTTACATTTTTTTAAAATGGGAAATCAGAGTATAATTGTTTTGTTAAAATGTTTGTAACTGCCAAAAGTAGGCGTGACAGACCCCATAAAGCATATATGTTCTTGATCAGGACGAGTCGATTGAACCTTGTTCGTCTGTCCGTTCAGCAGTTGCAGATAGACACTGCTGCTTTAGTTGAGATTTAAGCCTTCTGCTGCTGTCGTAGCTGTCGAGAAGTTCTGGGTTCAATGCAAAGCGGAGGCAGGACGGTTTTCTGTTTTTTTTTTAGGTATGAAGAGGCGGCGTTGACAGGGTTAATGCGCGTTTTTACTTCTTGTTTTTTTAAATTAGATGCAAATAATGGAAAATATTAAAAAACGCAGATAGGACTAAGATCAGGGTATCTTCTAGTCGAGCTTTCTTACTTGTTTATATTATCGTTCATAAATATCATTCAAGTCTAATCATTGTTTGGCTTGATAAGTTGATATATAAATAATCAGAAGTAGGCGTGACAGTCTCCATGTATTTATATTAGTCAGGAAGTCGAGCTGAGTTGATCTAGCTCTGCCAGGGCATCTGGTTATAAGACCTGGAGACTTGAAATTTTACACATACATCACATACACAGTTGTATCGTAATCCGTTAAGTAATAGGAAGTTATCGAAGAAAACGTAGCAACGCGGCAAATAGCGTTTCTTTACGCATGAGCCTCATTCAACTGTGTGCAAAATTCTTCGATTTTTATTAATAGAATCAAAATTTCAATTGAATTGTAGGCAGATAGATACTAAACTTTTGGCATAATTAATTCAAATAAAGTAGTTATTTTCGATTAAATATATAGACAGCCAGATGGGTTTTTACAATTTTATTATCTGTGCAAATATATTAAAGTACGAGTTCGAATAATTTGAACAGTTGCCACATGCTACTCTAAAATTGTAAATGATTACAATACGAGTAGATCCACTTTTGTTGATATCTAGCAATCACGTCACTGATTCGTGATCAAATGATACAGTAAGAAACATACTTCGCCAAAGTTAAAAGGGTGTATTAGTTTTTAGCAATATCCGTTCGTCTAAAGATTTCAAAAATTTGACAATTTAGTTACTGCAGACTTTCTCAGCGCCAGCCTAAACACTCAGACTTCTTTTTTATCAGATGGTCTTGCGTTGTCAACGATTAAATTAATAAATCGAAGAAATTAGCAGGCATGTCACATTTGCTAGTTGGTAGATGCAATCGTTTCGAGGTCTAGACTCAGGCGTAGAGATTACATATCAGGAGTCGCTTACTATAAATTGAACCCAAAAATTTTTTGAATGAACAGAGTCATGTGTCTCAATCTCGATGATGGTAAATCCTATCGGGAATGCCTCCCACCCAGCTAAAATATTGACAGTCTGATTTAAATACAATTTCCGTCAATTGAGATTAGATAATAAACTCAAGTGAATTGAACTTTAAAGTGGAAAGATAGAGGCAAAGAAGTGGAAGATAAGAATCTAAGCAGCTAAGCTAAACAGCTAAGCTAAGCAGGTTTACTTCTTAGAGATTTTAGTTGAGCTATCAAAGCTGAATTTACTTAAAAAACAAATTAATTCTTGCATGTTTACTCTAGTCTTAACTCTATATATCAAAGTCTTAAATTCTTGCTATTCTCAAATGCAAATATTTTCGTTCCAGTTTCCTTTTTTCCGTAACCATTTTTCTTAACTTGTAACAGAACTTCTAAGTGAGTAGCCTAAACTGCCTCCAAGCCAGGTACACGTCAGCCGTGTATTTAGGTTTAGGCTGTGTAAGCAGGAACAACAGATGCAAATCAAGCCGTATCTTATCGATGAAATGTAGTCATTGCGAATAGATCCACTTCTGTTCACTTCTTTCGTGTTTAATTTATATTCAGCATTTCCTGTTGTATTTCATTTATTCGTATAACTTAGATTGATATGTTGATAGAATTTGAATATTTATCAGCTTAACATAAAGTACATCGAAATGTCATACTGAGAGGCCCTCATAGTTGTATCCAATAAAAACATTGTTCTTGAGTTAAGCATCAGGTTAATATCTCGAATAAGTGCCACTCTAAAATTATGAATTATAATACGAATGAATCCACTTCTGTTGACTTCTAGATTTTTTGTGTTTGACTTTATATTCAGCATTTCCTGCTGTATTTCGTATAACTTAACTTTCGTATAACTTTGATTGATATGTTGATAAAATTTGAATATTTATCGGCGTACCATAAAGTACATCGAAATATCATTAAGTAAGAGAAATACTTTAATTATCATCTAATAATAATAATTGGTACAAGTTGCAGTCGTTTGACAACTTTTTCTCTTTAAAGTTTTATCAATATTGGATTACAATATTGCATAATTTGTATACAAAAAAGTATCATTTTTTCGACACATTTTTACCGAACTATTTGATTATGAACTTATTGCCAAAACCTCATATCCTGTAACTTTCAGTCCACTTATCCAGTCTTGCCTGCAAGTAAAAGAGTTCAAAGGCCATAACTTAATCAGTCAATAGGAAAGGTGTTGAGAGCTTCTTCAAAATATTGATTAACAAATTCTAACGGATGTGAAATCGATAGTGTAGTGATTTTTTTAAATGAATATATTTATATATATTCCATTATCACTTAAAAATAAATTTCTTAATTGGTTTATCAAAGTCTTAAGTGTTTAGCATAGTATAAAAGCGAGCTAACTTTTTTTAAATAGTATGAGTTTTTGAGTTAACATGAAGGTTTTCATTGTACTCACTTTGATTATCGCTGGCGTTAGCGCGAAAGTAGAGGAGCAGGTCCATCCCAAGGATCTTCCCAGGTCAGCTAAGATCCAGGGTCGCATCACTAATGGTTACCCCGCATACGAGGGCAAGGCTCCCTATGCCGTGGGTTTGAGCTTCAATGGCTGGTGGTGCGGTGGTTCCATCATTGCTCACGACTGGGTGCTGACAGCTGCTCACTGCACCAACGGTGCCAGCTCTGTGACCATCTACTATGGTGCCACCTGGCGCACCAACGCCCAGTTCACCCACACCGTCGGCAGTGGAGAGTTCAGACAGAACCACAACTGGCCCCACAACAACGGTAATGACATCGCTCTGATCCACACTCCTCATGTCGATTTCTGGTCAATGGTCAACAAGGTGGAGCTGCCCAGCTTTAATGATCGCTACAACATGTACGATGGCTGGTGGGCTGTTGCCTGCGGCTGGGGCATTACGTCCGATGGGGGCTCTCAACCCGATTGGCTCCAGTGCGTCGATCTGCAGATCATCAGCAACAACCAGTGCTCACAGACCTATGGCTCCCTACCCGATGGCATTCTGTGCGTCGCCACACCCGATGGAAAGTCTACCTGCAGCGGTGACTCTGGCGGCCCATTGGTGCTCCACGACGGTGGCCGTTTGGTGGGCGTTACATCCTTTGGTGCTGCCAGTAGCTGCACAGGTGGTCTGCCATCTGGCTTCACTCGTGTTACCCACCAATTGGACTGGATCCGCGACAACTCTGGCGTTGCGTACTATTAATGCATACAACATTTTTGAAACAATTAAAAATATTCAGCATCTTGTATATGCATTGACTTTGTAATTAGGATAAGCTAACTCGTTCTGTATCAAATTTTCATACCGATTTTCTTAGTTTATACATTCTTATATTTAGTATAATATTTAAAGCTCATAAAATAAGTTCTTTGTAAATTTTTGATTTTATGAGTAGACAGTTACCACACATTTATCAACTGCTTTTGTATGACTAGGGACTCCTTATCTTCTTGTATATTATGCTGTATACAATTTACGATTCATTCAATCAAACACAATGTGAGTGCCCAACAATTTGTATAAAAACACCTGCGGAGCTTATTGATACTCAGTTCGTATCTCCAATATGAAGGTATTTCTTACTATTCTCGCTTTAGCTGTCGCCTCCGCTTCGGGCGCTGCCTTGTCTGGTGGTACGGAGAAGGCAGTCAACATGAAGGATATCTCTGGCCGTATTACAAACGGCTATCCAGCCTACGAAGGCAAAGCACCCTACACTGTTGGTCTTGGCTTCAGCGGCGGCTGGTGGTGCGGTGGTTCCATCATAGGCAACACTTGGGTCCTGACTGCCGAGCACTGCACTGGCAGTGACGTCACTGTTTACTTCGGTGCCACCTGGCGCACAAACGCTCAGTTCACCCACTGGGTCAGCCGTAACGACATCATCAACCACCACAACGCTGATATTGCATTGATCCGCATTCCCCATGTGGACTTCTGGCATATGGTTAACAAGGTTGAGCTACCCAGCTACAATGATCGCTACAATGACTTTAACGAACGCTGGGCTGTCGCCTGCGGCTGGGGTGGTACCTATGATGGTAGCCCATTGCCCGACTGGCTCCAATGCGTCGATCTGCAGATCATACACAACTCCGAGTGCCAGAGAACATATGGTTCTGGCACTGTTACCGACAACATTCTCTGTGTCCGTACTCCTGATGGCAAGTCCACCTGCGGTGGTGACTCTGGCGGCCCATTAGTCACACATGACGGCAACAAGTTGGTCGGTGTTACCAACTTTGGCACTAGTTCGTGTACATCTGGCGCTCCAGCTGGCTTCCAACGTGTCACCTATCACTTGGACTGGATCCGTGACCACACTGGAATTGCTTACTATTAGTATGATTCATGGGATAGTAAATAAAGTTGATTGAATATTATTTGACAGTTCTTTCATTCACAATTAGTTAGTGTATAATAGTGAAATTTTGAGAAATGTCACAGTTGCAGTTGTATACCCCTCCACATTGAAAATAGTATATTATAATTTGTAGAGAATTGGATTTCGGGAGTGCTCGTCTACATGCAATACCCACAATAACGCACACGCGCCTTAGTATATGAAAAAGAAGTTCGTTTGATTTTGGGGGACAAAAATATAATTATATTACAGAATGATTGTTAGACTAATCATGGACTGAATGAGTGATGACGATGAACAGAATTAAGATTAATTTATTTAAGGTATTTTCCTTTGTACTTATGTGGACACTTGGCTAGTGTTTTTTATACAGAGGCGAGGCAGACCCCATAAATCATATATATTCTTGATCAGGATGACAAGCCGAGTCGATTGAGCCCTGTCTGTCTGTCTGTCTGTCCGTCCGACTGTCCGCACATATCAAGTTTCTTTCATATATTCGATAACTATTCCCATTTAATTTTTATCAAATAAAAACATGATCGAAATGCAGTTAATAAATTTTATCTCGTACGTCTTCAGAGCTAGAGCTTCCAAATTTTTTATTTAGTTTTATGTATATTTTATGGAAACAATCTGGGTTCGAATCCTGGTCTCGTAATGACGATTATTTATATTTGTTTTGTTTTTTTTTTTAATACGGAAATACGGAAAATATTAAAAAACGCAGATGGGACTGGGATCGGGGTATCTCCTAGTCGGGCACCCCGACTAGAGCCTTCTTACTTGTTTAAATGTACCATAAAAAAGGATAATATTTAAAAAATGTAGACATATTTCCATATATATATTTTTTTTAATTTGCTTTTTTTAAGTCGAAAGAGAAGGCATAGTTTAATAATAAGCAATGCCAGTGTGGTCACGGATCCAGTCCAAGTGATAGGTAACACGCTGGAAGCCTGATGGAAGTCCAGATTGACAACCGGCAGCAGCGACGAAGTTGGTAACACCGACCAGCTTGTTGCCGTCATGTGTGACCAATGGGCCGCCAGAGTCACCACCGCATGTGGATTTGCCATCAGGAGTACGGACACAAAGAATGTTGTCGGAAACGGTGCCAGAGCCATATGTTTGCTGGCACTCAGAGTTGTGTATGATCTGCAGATCGACGCATTGGAGCCAGTCGGGCAATGGGCTACCATCATAGGTACCACCCCAGCCGCAGGCGACAGCCCAGTGTTCGTTAAAGTCATTGTAGCGATCATTGTAGCTGGGTAGCTCAACCTTGTTAACCATATGCCAGAAGTCCACATGGGGAATGCGGATCAATGCAATATCAGCGTTGTGGTGGTTGATGATGTCGTTGCGGCTGACCCAGTGGGTGAACTGAGCGTTTGTGCGCCAGGTGGCACCGAAGTAAACAGTGACGTCACTGCCAGTGCAGTGCTCGGCAGTCAGGACCCAAGTGTTGCCTATGATGGAACCACCGCACCACCAGCCGCCGCTGAAGCCAAGACCAACAGTGTAAGGGGCTTTACCCTCGTAGGCTGGATAGCCATTGGTAATGCGTCCTTCGATCTTGTTGACCTTGGCAACGTCCTTGGGATGGACGACTTCCTCGAATGCCGAGGCAGAGGCTACAGCCAAAGCTAGAATAGTTAGAAACACTTTCATGCTGAATATACAACTTGTCGTTGCTTGAGTTTTGAACGGCTTTTATACTTGTGGTGTGTTGATAGAAGCGCGATTGCGCTGAGCCTTATCTCACTGGTTAAGGGCTCATAAATATTCCTTCAATTCAATAAAAACGTTAACATATATTTGCTATTTAGACAACTATTTAAATACGTTCTCAAATTTATATATTGATTCTTATCACAGCTTTTTGCCTATAAATACCATATGGTGTTGTTTATGATTATTTAATGCGTTTCTTCCCGTCACTTTTATTTTTTCTAGATATTTCAAAAGCGTCTACGTCTTACTAATTCTACTTTTCGATAAGTATTTTCTATACTAACCAGTCTTTCATAACACAGACAAGTCATAATCTTTTTATACCCTGATCCCATTTAAAATGGGATCTCAGGAAATGAAACAGGCAGATGGAGGCGTGGCAGATCCCATATTCAGGCACAAGCTGTGTCGATTCAGCCTTGTCAGTCAAATTCTTTAAATTTAAGTTCAGTTGAAAATAGGGCCAATTACTCCAATAAAATATGTAGATCATATGCTAAAATAGTGCAATCTATCATCGTCTGAGAAAGTGTTATTATTTTCCTGATACGTCCACTAGGGGTGTGGCAAATCGGAAATCACAATTTTAAATTTAAAACATAAGCGTGGGGGATCGGGAAAACTGCATATTCTTAGTTTGAGAGTTATAACCCCCAAATTAAATTAAGATTATCTACAGATTGATGAAACATTAAACGGTCACGCTTACAAGGGGCGTGAAAACTGGGATCATACAATACAATACAATTCGCAAAACAAAAAATATAGATTATACATCTATGTCTACATCATCTACACCACTTTGGGTGTATATATATGTCAATTTCGAGGGCGTGGAAAATCGGTAAAAACTATACAAATTTCCAACGAAAATCCTGATAATGGGAAATCAATTCTGTTAAAGTATAGGAGACGTGACAGACTCAGAAAGTATTTATGTTATTGATCAGGACAACGGCCTGAGTGGATCTAGCTCTATCCGTCAGTGTTCCGTATTTCCGCCTATCAGTTTATCCGCCTGTCCGCATGTATTAACGATGTATAAATTATGTCTCCTTATCTTCTTGTATATTATGCTGTATACAATTTACGATTCATTCAATCAAACACAATGTGAGTGCCCAACAATTTGTATAAAAACACCTGCGGAGCTTATTGATACTCAGTTCGTATCTCCAATATGAAGGTATTTCTTACTATTCTCGCTTTAGCTGTCGCCTCCGCTTCGGGCGCTGCCTTGTCTGGTGGTACGGAGAAGGCAGTCAACATGAAGGATATCTCTGGCCGTATTACAAACGGCTATCCAGCCTACGAAGGCAAAGCACCCTACACTGTTGGTCTTGGCTTCAGCGGCGGCTGGTGGTGCGGTGGTTCCATCATAGGCAACACTTGGGTCCTGACTGCCGAGCACTGCACTGGCAGTGACGTCACTGTTTACTTCGGTGCCACCTGGCGCACAAACGCTCAGTTCACCCACTGGGTCAGCCGTAACGACATCATCAACCACCACAACGCTGATATTGCATTGATCCGCATTCCCCATGTGGACTTCTGGCATATGGTTAACAAGGTTGAGCTACCCAGCTACAATGATCGCTACAATGACTTTAACGAACGCTGGGCTGTCGCCTGCGGCTGGGGTGGTACCTATGATGGTAGCCCATTGCCCGACTGGCTCCAATGCGTCGATCTGCAGATCATACACAACTCCGAGTGCCAGAGAACATATGGTTCTGGCACTGTTACCGACAACATTCTCTGTGTCCGTACTCCTGATGGCAAGTCCACCTGCGGTGGTGACTCTGGCGGCCCATTAGTCACACATGACGGCAACAAGTTGGTCGGTGTTACCAACTTTGGCACTAGTTCGTGTACATCTGGCGCTCCAGCTGGCTTCCAACGTGTCACCTATCACTTGGACTGGATCCGTGACCACACTGGAATTGCTTACTATTAGTATGATTCATGGGATAGTAAATAAAGTTGATTGAATATTATTTGACAGTTCTTTCATTCACAATTAGTTAGTGTATAATAGTGAAATTTTGAGAAATGTCACAGTTGCAGTTGTATACCCCTCCACATTGAAAATAGTATATTATAATTTGTAGAGAATTGGATTTCGGGAGTGCTCGTCTACATGCAATACCCACAATAACGCACACGCGCCTTAGTATATGAAAAAGAAGTTCGTTTGATTTTGGGGGACAAAAATATAATTATATTACAGAATGATTGTTAGACTAATCATGGACTGAATGAGTGATGACGATGAACAGAATTAAGATTAATTTATTTAAGGTATTTTCCTTTGTACTTATGTGGACACTTGGCTAGTGTTTTTTATACAGAGGCGAGGCAGACCCCATAAATCATATATATTCTTGATCAGGATGACAAGCCGAGTCGATTGAGCCCTGTCTGTCTGTCTGTCTGTCCGTCCGACTGTCCGCACATATCAAGTTTCTTTCATATATTCGATAACTATTCCCATTTAATTTTTATCAAATAAAAACATGATCGAAATGCAGTTAATAAATTTTATCTCGTACGTCTTCAGAGCTAGAGCTTCCAAATTTTTTATTTAGTTTTATGTATATTTTATGGAAACAATCTGGGTTCGAATCCTGGTCTCGTAATGACGATTATTTATATTTGTTTTGTTTTTTTTTTTAATACGGAAATACGGAAAATATTAAAAAACGCAGATGGGACTGGGATCGGGGTATCTCCTAGTCGGGCACCCCGACTAGAGCCTTCTTACTTGTTTAAATGTACCATAAAAAAGGATAATATTTAAAAAATGTAGACATATTTCCATATATATATTTTTTTTAATTTGCTTTTTTTAAGTCGAAAGAGAAGGCATAGTTTAATAATAAGCAATGCCAGTGTGGTCACGGATCCAGTCCAAGTGATAGGTAACACGCTGGAAGCCTGATGGAAGTCCAGATTGACAACCGGCAGCAGCGACGAAGTTGGTAACACCGACCAGCTTGTTGCCGTCATGTGTGACCAATGGGCCGCCAGAGTCACCACCGCATGTGGATTTGCCATCAGGAGTACGGACACAAAGAATGTTGTCGGAAACGGTGCCAGAGCCATATGTTTGCTGGCACTCAGAGTTGTGTATGATCTGCAGATCGACGCATTGGAGCCAGTCGGGCAATGGGCTACCATCATAGGTACCACCCCAGCCGCAGGCGACAGCCCAGTGTTCGTTAAAGTCATTGTAGCGATCATTGTAGCTGGG